CTGCAGGAGGGACTTTAAACCGGCCATGGAGTTGATGTGGCCCCCAGTGAGGGAGCCTGCAGGCTGAGTACAACTCCCAAACTGTGGGCTTGCACCAGCTGGCAGGTCAGGGGTCGGAAGCTGGGAGAGTTGCCTGGACATCCTGGACTGGAGGGACGGGGTGGGGGGGTTTGCACCTGAAGTACTGAGGCAATCTGACCAGAACCTACCAATAGGACAAGTACACTGGCGGGCTGTTTGTTTATATGCAGGAGAGGTGAAAGGTGATGGACACAGAGAGAGAGAGAAAACTTGTTTTAAGATGAATTCATGATGAATAAAATAGCTTTTGTATCACAGTTGCACTGTGTAAAATACTACGAAAACATTATTAATGAAAGTATTTACCTTGCAGTTGTTGCTATCGGGATCCTTATTTCCTAGTATTAAAATTCTCTTCAAAGTACTCCATTGTTATTGGATGTTTTTTTTTTAAAAAAAAAAGTAGAGTAGATCAGGACGTTGCAGTGAGAGAGACAGTCAGGCTGATACCGTCTATAAAAGAGCAATAAAACCGCACAGCGGAGGCAAAACAAAACGTCACAACTCACAACTGCGAAGCGGTATCCCGAATTTCTCGTCCTGGACTCAAAAAGACAAATTTCCCCCAAAAACAAAAACCAAACAACAATAACAACGAAAGAAAAAAGTCCTTCCGCCGTTACAGCAAGAATAACCTCGGAGGAAAAGAGTGCATGTAGAAAAACAAACAAGAAGCAGCAGCGGTCAAAGGAATAGCTGTGTGTTGGTCAGATGACAAGTTGTGTTGCTGCTTGTCTTCTCTGCTGTGGCGCTCTGCTGTCCGTCAGCGGGGGGGAGGAGGAGGAGCCGGAGGAGGAGGAGGAAGAGCAGGAGGAGGAGGAGGAGAGCGGCTCGTTTCTTCTGTCTACTGTTTTTTTTTTTTTTTTTTTTTTCCTCATCCGGTGGATGCAGTCACGGGCGCACGGGCTGGGATCTGCGTTCGGGCCGCGCGACGTCCACGTCCGATCGTCCTCTGCCTCTCGCGCTCAGCTGGAACCGACACGGGCCGCTCACGTGACGTCACGCCTCGCGGAACAGGCGAGAGAGGCGTTGCCGAGGATTTGGCGAGATCACTCATTTATTTATGAGACACACCTACCCTCGTGCGCACCTCGAGGAGAGCAGGCTTTGTATGGCAGGTTGTTGTGACATAAAATCAAAACAGACTTCCCCTGGCCTCAGGGTCAGCTCATGACTCTTGCCAATTTCTGCCTGTCTTGTTTCCATGTCGTACTAATGGACTCGACCACTTCATAGTCAATTATATTCTTGAATTATGGCGTAGGGTAGAGGTGGGTAGTAAGTTACAAAAAAATATACTGACACAAGCTGGAAACTGAATATTTATACTGACACTCATTGTCAATAAAGTAAGCAATCTACTAAAAATATCACCAATATAGTTGATTGATTAATTAATTAAAGAGACGTTTAATTAGATTAATTAAATAATTCAATAAGACAAACCATTTTTAACTATTAGTTCAAGAAAAAAAATTTGAAGGGAACAGATTAAAAGCTCAGAGTGTCAGTAGAAGATGAAAGATTTCTTTATTTATAAATGTTTATGTATATACTGAAGTTCTCACAGACAATTTGGGTTTCTAACTTCCCGACGTACGTGAATATGGAATCTCTGCATGTTTATTCAGTCAGATCAGGAAGACACCAGCTGTTTCCATGTGGCACAGGAATGGTTCCTCTCTTTGGAATTCAAAACCAAATCCTGGACAGTAAGTAATGCAGTATGATCAGCTGGGTTTGACACAGATGCAAAACAAACAAAGCTGCATTCAAAAAATTAAATACAAAATTTAAAAAATGAAGTTAATAATTTTACTGAGGTCTTGCATGATATTGGTTCTTGGTCGCTCTTTGTCAGTCAGGGTTCTCTACATTTTTCTCTCTTCAGGAGTGTAGCACACAAAAATCACACCTTTATAATATGGTCATCGGGCCTGGAGGAGATTAAACCACATGTTTTGGTTTAAAGTTATTATACCAGAAGTGAACTTCTTTCAAATCTTTTTGCTTATTTTCAGGAAGTCACATTTCAAAACAGATTTATCAAAAGTCGTCCTTGCCAACATGCACGAAGACACAAGTATCTTTAACTTGAAGGAATATTATTTGTTAAATAAGATTTGATTTTCCAAACATTCTAAATTACAACCTATTACCATTGATTGTGACCGCAGTTTAGGGTAGCTTCCTTGTGGAACAATGAGATATTACTCGTGATCTAACTGGTAGATGTTATTTATTGGAGACACACAACATAATTTCTGTACTGTAGATTGAAGAAAATTACTTAAAATCACTGGTTTTCAAACCGTCTATTTCAGTATATAAAGTTGATGCAGGCTCTCAGCCAATCCACCAATTCAGACCACAATTTTATACCAGAGGGTGGTGCTCATTTCAACCTTTTGCCAGTCTGTACTTTTGTAATTTTGGTTGTTTCGTGGTCAAGTTCTCTGTTACTAAATTGTAACCTCTATCCCAGGTCATTTTCTTACCAACTTTGCCTGAATTTGTCCACGTCTGACTGAGGGAAGCTTGATTCCCACTTTAACAGCTGACAATCTAAATTGCTTTTCTATATTCCGCTCATAGTTTACTGTGAAAACGTGGCTTAATGACCAACAAATAATAAACACGAGGAGGTCACTTTGAATTATTCCTGACCAGGAATAGCAATGTCACAAATTCATGAGTCATCTGGCTCAAAGGGGATCATAACTAAAATAAATGGATATAGGTGACACTGCAATGATAAACTTAACATATGTGAATATGTTGCACTGTACTGCTTAGAAGAGCTTAATCAATCTATTATATGCCGAATTAGCTTGCCATATATTTGTTTTGTCTGGCTGACAGTTTGACTTCGTTTTGTTTTCATATTTTTTTCCTTTTTAATTCTAGTTATAGCAGCAATAGATTTGAAGTCAGTTTTATTATGAGTATGTGCTTTTTCTTCTTAGTGTGAACTTTAAATAATACATATCAAACATATAAATATATACATATATACGTATGTTTATTTTTTGTACTGCAAAACCTACAGATTCGAGCCTCGGACTATTCTAGTTGAATTCGGTATCCCTCCATGATAATGGTTGGTCACAATTGCACGACTTTTCCAGTTTCCCTTGTAATCCACGGAAAACGTGAGTGTGCTGTTTTTTTCAGGAGAGGAACGCTTCTGCACGTTGCCTGCCGGCGTACAATAGCTGTTCCAGCTCACGTGGGTCAGACACGCGAAGAGCGAGCCTTGTCCGCTCGCGCTCCGGGCTCTGATTGGCCTAATCGAGCGGTCGCCCCGCCCGCGGAGAGAGAGCCATTGGTTAGAAATAGGTCGAACAAACCCGCCCGCTTGGATTCCCCCTCCCGCCCCCCGCGTGCATGCCACTGCCGCGTGAGACCTGCGAGGGGAGAGAGGGAGGAAAGCGCGAGGGTTTGTCTCGTCTACTGTACATTGCAAAGCGCGTGCGAAAACAAAGCGCGCCACAGGAATTCACCTGTCTTCCTCCTGACTCAAGCGGAGGTTCAAGTAGATTAGACATGGCGACAAAGCAATGCATGTCACGGCTAACTAATAACAGCACCGACACGTTAGACTGCAAGAGTGATTCCACTCATTCCAGTTCAACAGTGTCTCTTATTTATTGATGAACATGAACCTCACTTTAAAACGTAGCGATCAGACATGTTTAAAAGCACAAGCAAAATAAATCCCAAACCCAGCTCCATATTTAAATGCACAATAAAAGAAAGCTCCATTTTTACGTCATTTCATTTGTTGAAAATAACTTTGACAGGGCTGCTAGATTACTTTGGTCGCTGTGTATTAATCCTGTTGTAAACAACAGCCACATCATTCACATACTTGAACCAGCACCCAACCTCACCAGACCTCTCCTATCACAGTTTCATCCATGTGACCGCCCCACTCATCCCGACCAGGCCAAGATCACTATAGCGAGTTGCTTACTGCCATCTTGTGGCGCCACGAGTGAGAGCCAGTTATTTTCATAACAACTAAGAGTTCAATTAAAAATAAAAAAGAGCCCATAATAGACTAATTCATCACACATAGATCAATATATATTCAACCACTGGTCAGTTATAATACAGAAGTATTTTGTTTGCTATAGCCCACACAACCCCTTTGCAGGACTGACACTCTTTAGAATAAAACAAAATGTCATTTTTAAAGAAGTTGTTCAGAGTGAAGTATCCAATCGTGTTAATGGAAAGTTAAGACAAAAAGTGTGGTAAGCTGATAAACAGAGAAGCCACTCGACCTAAACTCCCTCTATTTATTGCCTAACAGACCAAGTACCAGAGCCAATAATGAAGACCAGCTGAAAGCCAGGCATTGAAACAACCTGGACTTTCTTAACACCTCAGCAGAGCCGCCTCCTTTCCCCGCTGCATTGGCACAGTGATTCAATCAAAGGGCTTTTTGTTATTTCAAGGTAATATTAAGATTTCCTGAAAAACACTTTGGAGAGTTTCATTAGTTGTAAACCTTCTCAGGAAAATCAGAAATCAACACTGGGGGTGTATGCAAGGGGTTATCTTTGTAAAATAAATTATAATGCACACACAAGATCATTTCTATTTCTTCTGTAAAATGCACTTGTACCTGTCCTGTGGAGGGCTAGTGACATTCCATCCACTGGACATAGAAGCAACCAGACCACCTACAAGGGTTGGGCTGGTGTAGAAAGTGCCTGATTGGGCAGTGTTAAAATTTATTATTGAAAACCATTAATTATCCTCAAGCAATTGACATAATGAAGTTTATTGTTAAAGCATCGTTAAAGAAAGACTTTGGTTCACGCAATAAATTGCTAACTTTGGATAAGGTACTTTTTTTCTTGTGCTATTGCTTGTAGGTTACTGATATGAAATAAAAGAGAAACAAATGATTACACTTAAGGTTTATTCATTGCTGAAATATAATCAACTACTGACTTCTCAGTAAATAATGTGATAGAAATCTACTAAAACTAGAATTTTTTTCTTTAAGAAAACAAAAACTTGACAGGGGTTTGAACATTTCATATATGAATAAAGTGACATGATGTTCTTAAAAATGTACTTCATCAGATTGAGTTGAACAAAAAAAAAATGGTTTAACAGTGAAAACATGATTGCAGATCAGGAAACAACTCAAACGTATAAGGGGGTAAGTAGAAGACCGGCATGAAGACTGATTAGGTTACACACAAATACATGGAATATTACATTTGTTTATCATGATAGGTCCTTGTTTTTGAACACACTTTGAAGAAGTACTGTAAAAATAATCACTGCTAAAAAGAGCATACAAATAACATGAAATTAACATGTTATAGTCGATTTGTTTTACCTTTTTTTAATTCCGTGGTATAAAAGCTAGGAATATCCTCAAATAAACAAAGTAAAGTGAACACCGTAAGCAAGGCTTCTTCATTTTGGCAGGAAAGGGATTACTGTAATGCTAATTACCAGAAACTTACATTTCATCTATATGTGATTAAATCACTAAGGAATATAGGGGCAACTCTCAAATCAACTTTACACTACAAACCTTTGGGGATATACTGAATAAACCATCATATACTGCAGGAGTGATTCAACAACCTCAGCAAAAAACTTGACCATAGAACAAACATGCACTGACATACTATTAACAAAAAAAAAGTTTTTTGTCCCCATGTCCCTATTCCTAATAAATGCACTTTACATAAAAAAACAAACTCCTCAGAGCCTCTAAGTGAACAACAACAAGACAAAATACACAGCAGAGACTTTATCATACAGCAAGAGGTGTAGCAGGAAACTTTAGTTGTGGAAGGGGAAGATACATTAGCAGGTCATTTCACCTAACTTGTCTAGATAACTGCACAGTGTCAGCCAAGCATAGTGTCAATGCACTTAAGGGGTTAATTTATGATCCTATGGAAACAGTCACGTCTTTGAAAACACCTTTGAACATCTTCCAATATAACCTGGAAGAATCTCTGGTGATATTTAATATAATGTTCTACAGTAGTTGTTAACACACTCATTCTAATAGCAGAGTAGATGCAACAGAGAAAGAGGCAAATTCTCCTAAAGGCAGTAGATGCCTTTGCTAGTCCCTTTTTTTTACCTCTCACTTTCCTATTTTAGAACTGAACAACAAAAATTCCTCTTGTTTGCCATTTCTTTCAGACACCAGGATCAATATCTGTAAGGTTCTTGTAAGAATGGCATTTCCTCATGACTGTCGTGTGTCTGTCTTTCTCCGGGTCTCTTCGAAAGCTTCAGCCTCTTAGCATCTCCTCTTTGCAGTCTTTTAGCCCTGCGGCGGCAGGATGCTTTGTGCCTGTGAAGAAGTGTAGCGTTCCAGAAGCGAGCGGAGCAGTGACGGCAGGAGAAAGTCCCTCTGGCACGATGGGAAGCTCGATGGATGAAGGCTGTCAAAGGCCTGTGAGACTGCTTCCCACACACTCTGCACCTCAGCCGATCCTGAGCGCTCAAGGCCTTTCGTGGGTGTTTAACTGCCATGTGGATCAGCAGCCCTGCTTTGCGGGAAAATACGGAATTGGGGCATATGGGACATCCGAACCGTTTCACTGGAACTTGGAGAGATGACAGGATCTGTACTTTCATTCCTCCGGTGTTGATAAGCCTATACCCACCACCACCAGATCCTCCCCCTCGCTTAATCGTCAAACGAAGAGAGCCTTGTTTCTTATTCTGCTGCCCTCTTATTGTACAGCTTATCTTTTTCTTCCGTTTGACTCCATCAAATCTCACTAAATCCTGGGATTCCCAGTTATTTTCCCTCCATTCTCTGTTGTCGGACTTTTTTTTTTCTTCTTGTGTCGTCTCATGTCATCGTGGGGCAGAGGGATGTTGCACTCAAATGGTTGGTGCGCCCGGGTGTCTAACTGATGATGGGGATGATGGTGGGAGAGGTGATGATGGTGATGCAGATGGTGATGTTCAGTGGAGGGCAGTTCAGTGAGGGGCTGAAACGGGGCAGTGGTGTGAAGCGTGCGGCTACGGGATCCGGCTGGATAAATGTGCTCTCCTTTTACCCCAGCAGGGGAATGTGGGTGCTGCGGGGGCATGATTGTGGAGTTTGGGGGGAGTGGCTGAGAATAGGATGGAGCACTGGAGGTGGAGGATTGGGCTGTTGCAACATCATAGAAGAGGGGAGAGTAACCAGCTGGTGGTTGTGGGGGTGGTTGCTGATGACTATGAGTGACAACACTAAGACTCTGCCCTCCATGGCCTTCAGTGGCTGGAGCCATCTGAAGCAGGGCATTGGTGGCAGCCTCACTTTCAGAAGCTGACTGATTAACATCACTCCCACCTCTGTTTTCTCCAGACCCACTGCTGCCTTCTTGGGAGTTAGACTGTTCAGCTCGGGTAATTCCATGCTGAGACTGCCTGTGTCGAGTGAGGCTATTTGAGTAGGCAAACTGTTTCCCACATACGTCACAGGAAAATAACTTGTCACCCCCACCTTCATGAACCATCTGGTGATGGGCAGTTAGCTGGAAGTGATGACGGTAGGATTTCCAGCATATAGCACAGGTGTAGAGTCGAGACTGTGGTGGAGGCTGCGACTGGGGTGGGGGAGGAGGCTGTTGCTGAGGGTTGGAGTCTTGAGGCTTGACGTCTTGAGAGTAGGGGTAATAGGAAGAGGTGCTTGGTGCTGGATTCTGGCTCCTGTCCTGTGCCACGCTACATTGAGTATTTGGATTAAAGCTGTTGAGGCTCTCTGGAGCGGGAGTTGTGGGTACCTCTTCCAGCTCCCCTTTCTGGTGGAGTTTGCTGTGCCTCCTAAGGCTTTGGGAGTAACCAAACTCTTTCCCACAGATTGTGCATTTGTAATTCTTTGCACCAGAGTGGACTGTTTGATGCTTGCTGAGGTGAAAAGCCTCTCTGAAATACTTTCCACATATGGTGCAATGATGGGGTTTTTCACCAGTGTGGATGCGGTCATGCCTGCGCAGAGTCTCGCGGCGTGCAAACCCCTTGCCACAGACACTGCAAAGGTGAGTGCGTGGGAGCCCACTGGGCCCCATTCGGGGGGTGTACTGCCTACGTTTTGGGGGCTGTCCACCAGCTGCAGGATCTTTTTTAGCTCTTGGTTTGCGAGGACGTTTTGGTTTGGTAGTAGGATTCTGTGGGTTGCTGCTCATAGCCTCTTGGCTCCCACCACTTCGGAAATTCTTATCCATGCCAGACGTGGAGGAAGGTGAGCCTAGAGGTCCTAAACCAAGACCTCCTAGCAGACCTCCTATTATGTCTCCCCTATCATCCCCTCTATTTCCGCTGTTGCTAGCTGCTGTTATTGCAGAGATTGCATTATTGACAGAGCTAGTGACATCATCCTCTGAGTCATCCAGTAGAGACGAAAGAGGCAGGTGGGGCTGCTGTTGCGGATGGTGGTGCTGGTTGTGGCTCTGTGAGTGTGGATGCAGAGTTGGGGCCAAGGGAGCCTTTCTCAGAGCTGGGCCCGCCATCCCACTTCCACAGGGGGAGGCACCAGAGTAGCACGGAGATGGATTACCTTGAGAACGGTGGTCATCATGGTAGCCTGTGTAACGATTCCGAGAGTAGTCAGTGGGGTATTTACCATCTGTTCTGTCCCTGTCATTTGAATTCCCTCCCCTTCCAGATTGAAACAGACCATCACATCCTAAACCCGATTTAGGTTCTCCTTCACTCACAATGATTATACCATCCTCTTCCTCAGTTTTCCCATAAATAACCCCTCTATTGCTTTGATAAGTTCCCCCTCCTCCATTACCTCCTCCACCCCCTCCCCCGACTCTGTCCTCACCATCAGTTCCTGTCTTGCTGCCCCGGTGTTTGGGTCCCCTACCTGGCTTGCCGCAGGTGCCTGAGGCAGCATGGTTGAGAAGAGAGGTGCTCTCTCGGAAGGCACGACCACAGGCAGGACATCGGAATGGCTTTTCCTCATGAATCTTCTCATGACGTGTCAGTGACTCTCTACGATTAAAAGCTCGAGAGCAGGTGGAGCAGCCATATGGGCGGGCTGAAGAGTGTATAACTCCATGTTGCAGCAGGTGCCCCTTTTTCTTAAAGCCTTTCCCACAATCAGGGCAATGAAATATTTTGTCTGGGCTAGGACAAGAATTTGACGAGGGTTGGGGAGTTTCTTGGGTCGAATGGGGAAGGCTTGGGTCAGACTGAGTTTTAATGTAAACGGGGTTGGGGCCTGTAGTGGCAGTATTGCTAGTACCTGCTGTGGTTGGCTCATGCATGCGCATATGCCTGCGAAGGCTTGATAGGTGAGGGAAGCTTTTGCCACAATCTCCACAGCTATAAATGGGCTCTGAATCAGACTCTGAAGCGTTGGGTTGCATTGAGCTCTGGTTATCAGATTTAGAAAGCTGAGAGTCATTAGTAACCAGTACTGAGGCAGCAGTGGAAGAGGGAGCAGAAGAGGAGGAAGAAGAAACTACAGATGAGGATGATGATGAAGAGGCAAGAAGGGATGATGGATCTCCACCCATATTTGTAATACCAACCCCACTACCAATTAAAGCTGGGGGCTGCCCATGACTTAAGCCTCCATTACTACTAGTGCTTGGATTACCGCTGTTGCTACTCTGAGCATGGCTGCTACTGCTATTACTGCCGCTATCGGATTTTCTTTGAGGCAAATAGCCAGCCATGGCTTTTTTCCTTCTACTGCCACTGCTACTACTACCGCTACTTCCACCTCCGCTGCTTTCCCCTTTACCATCTTCCTTCGATAAAGATAAGTGAAGTGGTAAGGGAAGTGGCAGACCTGCTTCCTGCTGCATCAGAGAAGCTATCTGATTAGATGAAAGCACTGGAATGCCCTGGAAGTCAAAGCCACCTAGCGATGAAGCCTGGGAGCCTGGGTGGAGAGGGTGGTGAGGATGAGAATGAGAGTGAGGATGAGAAAGGGAATGAGGTGGAAGCTGCTGCTGCTGGGGAGGTTGCTGGGGAGGCTGCTGGGTTTGGGGAGTTGTGTGGCCGTGTGAATGGGAGGAATGCAAAGCAGGAGGTGGAGCGAGGCTAGTGCTAGGCTCTCCAGCTGCCTGGCTTAACCCAATCCCTAAGTGGTTATGAGTTCCCTGTTGAACTAGAAATTGCTCTAAGCTAGCATTAGCAGGCACACCAGAAAGAAAGTATTGATTAGCAGCTAACATGCAACTAAATTGTTGGTGAAGGCTCCGTGCATCAGACTGGGCTCCAACCAACTGGTGTCCCAAAGAGCTGACTGCACTGCTGCTAGAAGGGTTGTTAGAGGTGGCTACAGATGTTGATGGGGAGGGAGAGGAGGAGGAGGGGCCAGGTGATGCCTGGGGGACAGAGAGGCCAGGATGTAAAGGAGGGGGTGGAGGTGCTGATGTTACTAATCCTCCTAATCCCCCAGCACTCCCACTACTGCTACTTCCCCCTGTAAAGTGCTCAAAGCGACCTACACTTGGGTGTAACTGCTCCTGTGCTAGTGCTGCCTCAGACGGGTGGAAAGAGCGCAGGAACTGCGGGTAGCCTGAAGAATGACTTGAGCTGCTGCTGCTCATCTTGCTTGACTTTGAGCGAGAGGTCTGAGATGAGGAAGGCTGTTGTTGTAAAGGTGGGGGAGGAGGGGCACTCATCTTGGCAAAAATGGAGGCAGAATCAGAAAAGGCGTTACCTCTTGACCCCTGCAGGGGGCCCAAGCCAAGTCCAGACAGAAGAGCTCCAGAAGACTCAGCCTGCTGCTGCTGCTGCTGCTGGAGTTGATGCTGGTGTAGTTGCACTTGCTGCTGATGTTGTAGCTGTCGATCTAAACCAAGGCCTTTGAACTGGTGGGCCTGGTGCCCACTTAACATCTCTATAATGTCCAGATTGTATTTTCCAAATTGGAACATTTCCCACTCACTGGCACATGGGGGTGCAGATGCCAAACCTCCAGCGCTAGGAGCGGCTACAGTAATCCCACCACTCACTGGTGAAAGACAGACTTTACCCTAAGAGTGGGACTATGCTACTATGTTCTTACTTTGGAGACAGCTTAAAGTTCATCTCTCCAGATTGTTTATCTCTGGTGCTCCCTCTTGATCATCCACTGCCCACACTATACTTCCAAACTCAGTGTGGTAGCTGAGGTGATAAATTGATGATCAAAGGTAAAAGGTAGACGAGTTCCACCCAACTGCATCAGAAATTAATTAAAAGTGGTTTTTATTGAGGAACCAGTTCAAATGATGGTTTTCTTGTCTCCTTTGAGAATAACTGTGTTCCTTCACCTAAGATTCCCCATCCATGTTCAGCCCAGGAGTTCCTACAGCTGAAAACACAAAAGTCAGAGGGGTGAAAGTCATAGAAGGGCTTTATATATCTTTGTATTGAGATAATATTCACTTTATGCAGACTGACAGATTATTCTTACCTGTACTATTGTATAGATAGTATATTAAGATACAGGCCTTTAGTATGTAACGTTTATAAAAAATCTGTTTAGTATATTTGTTAAAACTGACACTAAATTTAAATTTCGAAAAATGCAGGGAAGTTTTAAAATATATCTTCCTACAAAATATAATTTGGAACAAAAACAAATTTTTCCATTATCAAACTTTAGTTGCAGTGATTCTGCACACCCACTTATATTTCTGAAGCAAGAGTGAAATGAACAATTTGTTCTTTTTTGTAGCATCTGCAACAAACCAAAAAAGAACAAAAGAACATTCAACATTTTACATTTACAATAACTTACCTTAGAGTGGTTCTGCTGGAGTGGTGCCCAATTAAAGTAGCTGTATAAATGCCAATTGTTTTTATTATTAGTCTCATACTGACTACAAACACAAATATATTTTCTTTTCTCTGTGAATGAATATTGTGCACCTTATGAAGAGGCAGATTTTGCATATTTAACAAAGCACTGGAGAGAGTGACCCATTTTACTTCATTACTATATTATCTGACCATTTAATCTTTTCATGCTGAATCTGCTCCAAACTTGTAAATTGTTTCTCTCTTCCATGTTCACAGAAAACACCTGTGGCGGGAGGGGTTTCATAAGAAATCAACATGATGCATCTTGTGGTCTTTGAAGGGTGTGCGCAATCGACGGTGGTCCAAACAAGCTGGGCCCTCAATGCAGTCTGCCACTTCTAACTTTGCTCTCCGACCTTCATAACATTAACTGGGCTCCAACCAGTTAATGTTATAGTTTAGATGTTTTCCGACTTTATCGGATGAGCCTCCACTAATTAAAGATTTTAATAAAAGCAAACAGCAACTTGTTAGTACTTTAAAAGTGGCAGCCATGGAACTGTTATTTAAAATATCAGATTTAATTTGTATTCCTTCAACTTAAGCAAGTGAACCTGTTGACGAGGCAAGCTCTTTTAGATAGATAGATAGATAGATAGATAGATAGATAGATAGATAGATAGATAGATAGATAGATAGATAGATAGATAGATAGATAGAAGTGTGTTTGATTAGTACATTTACAAGGTTCACATTTCCATTATGATTTCAGGGTTTATCACTAAACAGTAATGATTGTGTTATAAAAGCTGAATAACGCAACTATTTAACAGTTTTTTTTTGTTTTTTTTTTTTACCATTTATAGTTTTGTAATACTATCTAAAGAAATTCTAAAATTGAAGCTATTTTTGTGATTTTGGGTCACAACTTCTCACAGATTTAAAAGTAATTTCCTAAAATTCTTAATTTTGGACATCCATCCATAATTTTGGCATCATGTAGTTTTTAATGCTTCAGAAAAAAAAATTGTATAAAACATTTTGCCACATACATAAAAGACAACTAAATTTCAATAACAACCATAGAGAAATAAAATTTAGTCACTAAATGTTATTTCTGTAGACTTTATTCACTTTAAATGTGTTTATGCTCACCTCTATAAATCTTACCGTTTCCTCTAATTCAATAGATGAGTCCTTGGAGGGGGATTTGAGTTCCCCTGGCAGATGAGGGAGATTATCTAATGCATTTCTGACTGCCTCTCATTTTAATGCACATCAGCAATCCTGCAAAAAATAGGGGGGAAAAATGAACCAGAAATGCTAAAATTAACACCAGCTTTCCATTCGCTTCATCATGTAAACATTAGTTTCAAGCGCGAGCAATAACGGTTGCTCCTGTTACAGCATTGGCTAACATTTTGTAGAGGGGGGAAAAAAGAAAAAAGAAAAACTAAACTTGGCGGTTTTCTTTAGCATCATGTTAGACTCCGGCTCAGTGTGTCTGGCTATGTGCAGCCACACGCAATTTACAAAAGCCACATTGTTGCTAACGTTAGCCGTCCTCTCTAAGCACAATTGTAAACGCACGCCGACTAACGTTAACTTGACGATGCTAGCGCTAGCATATACATCTGCGTAACCTATATTCAGCAAATGTTTACCTACGCATCCAGTAACAGAGCAGAGTTTGTAGATGGATGAGGCCTGGCACGCCTTCTTCTTCTTCTTCTTCTTCTGCTTCTTCTTCTAACTGCCTGCTGGCTGGCTAGCTACGGCGCGCTTCCATTTCTGCGTGCTGTTTTCCAGTCGTTAGCCAGAGCCATTTTCACTGATGCTGAGCTGGGTGAACGCTCGAAATCAACGCCGACGAACACCGCCGCAGCCTCCTCGCCATTTGGTTACCGACCGCTCTGGGCTGGCGGGAAGCTTATTAGATTACTATTTAGCGGGCCGAGGAGGATTTTTGGTCGGTCAGCGGTGATATATTTTTTTTGGGTAAAAGTGAGTGACGTGTGCTCCCCTAACGTTGGTCCTTTCCGGCCCTTGTAATGTTTCCGGGTAGCGGCAGCAGAGGGGCTCGCGGACTGTGTTTTAGGGCTCAACCGCTTGGCTTCATGCTGCTCGGGTTCGCGTTTAGCAATCTGCATATTGGGTGTTTTTGTGAGCGCAATCGTCACATATCAGTTGTACGGAAAAGTATTGCGGCTGCTAAAAAATAATAATAATAAAAAATCCTACTTTAATCTGAGAATTGAGCTCTCTGAAGTCTGAAAAGTTAGTACTCCTGCTGCACAATTCTCATCCCCTGTCATTGAATCTTGAAAGTGCCAGGTGCATTTCTGCATTAAAATCAGAATTCTGGAAAAAAAAAGTCTAAAGTCTTTGATTAAAATCACAATTCTGAGAAGAAAAATAAAATTAGGAGGCTTTTTCTACTCTGAATTCTGTGGGGGGGAAAAGTCAGACTTCTTAGAAAAAAGTCACAATTCTGACTTTTTTAAAATTATTATTCTGAGATAAAATTTAAAATTCTTAATTAAGAGAAATAATTTTGAGATTTCAGCCTTAACCCACTTCCATATTGTTATCTACCTAAATATATTTAATGTTAATCTTGGACATCTCAGAGTGAAAAACAGGTTATAACATTCATGTCATAGGAAGCCATTTAATTTGTTTGATCTCAGAACAGTATTTTTTATTATGTCAGTATTTCTTCTAATTGCATAAGGGGTTATTTTGTGTACACTCACTAACAAATTGTCTCCCTACTCAGTAGATTTATGCTTGTATCTTATATACCGTCGGCCATCCAGGGCACGTAACACATGCTGCATTAAATTGTTTTGTACCAAAGCAAAACAATCTAATGTCTTGCTTTGTCAAAACATCAAATCACTATGTCTTCATCAGGAGTGTAAAATGCATACATATTTTAGTCTTTTATTCTTGTGGTATTCCTGGCATTCAGACAATATAAGTGTAAGAACTACAAACTCGCTGAACACACTAATTAATAATTTACATTTCCACTGAATTCTTCATTTTCTGATGACTTATGAAGAGTCTGACAATTCCCTCTGCTGCTGAGGTCCAATGATATTAAAAGCCTCGAACACACCCAGTTACATCTCCTGAAGTTCAATTGGTAAAATAAAAAAATATATATATTTGTTTGTTTTTGTTTATTTCATTCATTTAAATGTCCCACTCTGATATAAACAAAACATTTGAATGTAAAGGAGTAGTTGGACGAAAAAAAATCATACAGCTTCGCCCTTCTCTCAAAAGTCAGTCCTTCATACCTTAAGCAATTAAGCATCAATCAACCATTCATATTGATGAATAAACGGATAAACACAGGCAATAAATGTATATATTTACATATATACATATTAAAATTACAATTACAAGCCAATATACTTCACTGTATTGTATTGTTTCACAGATTTATTCTACGAACAGAAAAGTAATGTTTCATTTATTTAGGTCTAACTTTGAGATTTTTTTAAAATCTCGGATCCTCTTGAATTATAAATGCTATCTCTTTTAACAAATCTTTTTGGCAAATGTGTTGATAGTACACTGCTATATATTGTTGACATTACTACATCTAGATATTTGCTATTCAGTAGAGCAACCTTTAACAATGGAGGTGCAAAGAAAAAAAATCTACAGAGGAAACTCTGTAAGAGAAAAAAGTGTGGTAGTGTAAGGAAGCACAAAGATACTGGAGATTACGACAGACCCGATGGCATCTGCATCTGTTTCTCTCACTGTGGAGGACGTAGGAAGAGGTGCGATAGAGTGATCAGGCTCTGCCGGACCAAGAAGACGGAGTGATGGAGTGTTTAAATCGCCAAAACCTCGACGGTCGCCCGCACCTAAAACCATGTGGGGCGACCTGACAGTAATTGGACCACAGAGGAATAAAAAGGAGCCAGAGTGCGCTGCGAACCTCACAGGTGAGGTGGAGATGCTCCAGGGGATGACCTGATGAAGCTGGCTGGGATTTGTTTTTCCAGAAGTGTGAAAGCGCTGGTATTGAGGTAAATAGTGGCTTCTTTTACAAAAGTAGCACATTTTTCCTTATAATGAGAACCCCATATGTTTTATCTAACACAGTGAGAAGAATGAATATCTACCACCCACAAAGATTTGTTTTGCTTTTACTTTTGCTTCATACTTAAATGTTTAACATCATCAAACTAATTTCATCATCATAAAAAGTTTATAAGAATAAATACAAAATGCAGTTTGCAAATGATGTATCCATCTATTGAGGGAAACAATCTCCAACTCAGCCTGGCCTTTATGTTAAAATATAGCTCCTTTTCCCTGTTAAATCAAATTAACTGTGATTAATCAAAATGAGTTTGGTTTAACTTGTTTGTCTACACCCAGACGAGAACCTGTACGGCAACTAGAAGTAGGTTAAAAGATTTCAAAAAGTGCTGAATCATGCAATCTAATAAAATTCAACAACAGATTACAATTAGTCGTTGACATCAACCTGGAAAGGAATAAGGTCAGAGTTCACAATTTAACATTAGGAAAGCGGACAGGACAAAAACTGCATCAGATGAAGAGTCCAAAGGTCAAAGCGACTGCAACAGGAACACAAACATCCTGGGAAAATGTTCCCAGGTTACACACTCTTGGATCATACAGTGGAACAATAATTCAAAGCAAATGTTTGGAATGGGCTAGACAAAGTCTATGTAAATGATAAATCGTTTGTACTTGTATACTTCTTTCTCAAGTCCAGTCTTTTACCGATATACTCTTGTACTTTATAGAAGAGTCATAGGCCCATATCAGGCGAGTCGTAATAATATTTAGGTATTTTTAGAAATACAAAACTGATGATGTTTTAGTATTTTTTGAGAGCAACATGAAGCTACTGACCAAAGGATGGAGTAAACCTATCAACTTCCAACTGGTGTCATAAGTTCATACCCAAGTATGCATGGTTATACCTATCAATGTAATGATAGGTAATCACTGACAGGCATCAGAATCATTTTTCTTTAGTGGATGGGGCACCAAATGATAGATTAAATGATATCCTATAGTCAGACTACTTTACAAAAACAGCCTTTCATTTACGAGCCTCTGTTGTGTCCAAATCAAGCTGAATTAGTTTGAACCACCTGGTGGTGAAATGTGAAACTGCAAGAACTCAAATGCATCTTATTTGTCCTGTCCTTTGTTTCGTATTTGTGTGTTTTCTTTGTGCTGTTTTAACTCCACAACAACGTGAGCTGCCGGTTGCTCTTTCATTTAAACCCTCACTCTTCTCAGAGCAATAAATGTATTCACAGGAGGCTGAAGATATGAAGTGCACCGTCTCCGTCTTGCTGTGATGATCCAGCAGGTGCAGTGTGATATAACTCTGCGTTCAGATGATCTGGAGTGGATTTCATTTAAAAGCACTCCGTGGCTTTTAATGTGCCTTATACAACATCTCACACCTCGGTGATGTACAGCTTTAGTTTGTTTACTAATCTACGGACGACTGGAGCGTTTTCTGCTAATATAATGTAGCTGCAGCTTCTGCTTTGACCCCTTATACAACATTAATTTGTTTCCTGATTGCTACTGTTAGAAAGCCTATTTCATAACATATTACTGCTGAGCAAGCCTCTTGTGTCTGAAGTGTTTACACAAACATCTCTCAGACTGGTCTGTTAATAGTCAGTCTGAGCATTGGGCCAAATATAGGATATTGAATTTTCATTTTCGCCGTGGTTTAGTCATCATTAAAAACACAGCATAAACTTGGCTTTTGTCATTTTGCATACAAACTCGGCTAGATTTTCCTGGCCTCGATGTTGTTCTGTTTAGTTTCTTTTTGATTGTCTTTTAAAGACTCTCATGTTGTATTGGGAGGCATCGCAGGGATGTTTAAGGTACCTCCAACCACTTTGAGTCAAAGTGAATGTGGAAGTAGTTTATATTTACCAACTATGTTTAAGCACACCTGGTGTAAAAAGCCTTTTAAGTAAATACATTTATCATTGCCACTATATCATCTCACATGAAAAAAGTAGAAAAATACAATTTTTAGTTCTAGTATATTTATCTAGTGGTGACAACAATAGATTACCACAAAATCTAAACATCCATTTGTTGCCTATGCCTGCTTTTCCTTGCAGGTTTTCTCCTGGATTGTTTGAGAGATACGGAACATCCAGGTTTATCATTAACAATTACCATAAAATACACATTGAAGAACATACTTATTTCATTTATGCCTTACTTATATTAAGCAGAGTGTCGGAGAGATAGAGGCCCAATTTTAAGGCGCTAAATTGTGAAGTCAAATTTTTTTTAGGTACTGTTTGATATATAGAGTATTTTTATAACACTGAAGGTAACATTTACTTTATTGTGTTATATAATGAAACTATATGCCTGGAAATCGCATGAACACGTGAAACTTTCACAAACTAAGCAGAGCGGGGGAGCAAGTTCATTTCGGTGAGGAATTAGTTAAGGGTAGTAAAAGAGTATAATCTCTAACATTCACTATTGTAAAAATGCAGTATGTTATTCAGCCTAACTCCAAAAGAAGATTAATTTAATATATTTTTATGCGTCTTAACAAAAGTGCCAATAACTGTGGGTATGTCAGTAATTAGTCAAGATTTTTTGTGTATAATTCACCCTAACCTCATGCTGATTTCTGTAGAGAATAAAAGTAAATCTAGAATAAAATTCGTCGAGGCACTGAGGAAGGTTTTCTGCTTTAAGTTCGGGGAGGTCCTCAGACAAAGGAACAGAATGCCAATCAGTGCTTCTCTGTTGGTTTTCAGTAATGCAATACTCTAAAAATCTAGTGGATTATTCTAGATTATGGTGGAGGAGGTTACCCAGGGCATCATTCATGCAGGCGGCGTCCCTGCATATATGTATCAACTGCAGAAATTAATTAAACTTCTGATTATCTCCCGATTTTACTGCAAACTGTGACAATATCCAACAATCTTCTATGTGAGAATGAAAAAAAAGGACACATTTTTTCCACCAACTTTATTATACAAATTCTTTGTCACTGTCGTATCCAAGGGAATCAATGCATTCAACAATAACAAAAAGGGTTTCGTATTTAAATCTATCAGCATGAAAATAAATCCATAAATTTCCTTTACTGATCACTCTGCCTGTCCGCCTCAGGTGGCTTTTATGCATCTTCCCTTCGAAATGAATTCATCATGGTAAAAATGCACACCATAGTCATTCATTTCTCTCCAAATAAAACAAGCTTCTCAGTGTACCTGCTTGCCAATTACTTCTCCTTTATGACAAAAAGAAATAACCCCTATATAGGAGGATGCTATGAGAATAAAAAGACAACAAAATGTTATGAGTTTGGCACTGTACAGTTCATTAAATACTAACACGTAAGGTTTTTTTTTTTTGTATCCTCAAATTAATGTTGAAGAGATCACTCAAAATATTCTGATTGTACTAGCTATACAAAATACAATACTTCCACAAATTAGATTAACCATTTATAAAAACTGTGATGAGTATTAAATGGATATGGCTTGTGAGTTATTACAGACTTTGCTACAGACCTTTTTGTGGTTCTATTTAAAAAAAAAAAAAAAAAAAAAAGAAATCGAATACAACTTCTACGTTGTCTGTCCTATTTCCCTGAAAAAAGACACTGCACTTCAAAGCTTTCAAGTTTCCGTTCAGTCCTCTCGCTCCTCTGTACTCAACATTCACCTGAACATACAAACATTATGGCATCGTAGGGTTTTGTGCGCACAGCCCGCCATGAGTTAGCCGGCCAGGCTGCTGCAGAAGAAACTCTCTCGATGCACGTCTAGCTAGAAGGCTGCAGAATTTTTCGAAACGTGTATTTTTTATTTTTTTGTACCCGAGTGGAAACCTTAAGTAATCACTTGAGACAAAGAAGTCGTAAGGCTGATGTCTAGGCACGGTACATACAGCTGGAGGGTTTGGCCATTCGAAGCATTGACGACCCTTTAGAAATGCCAGGCATGCTTTTGGTCAATGCCTCTCAATGAAATGGAGCTGGCATGCATCAAGGTTTGGAGACTTCTCAAAATCTTAATGACCAGAAAGAAAAAAAAAAGAAAGAAAAACAAAACAACTAGTCATGAAAATGTAAAGTCATCTAAAAACAATAAACACTTAAAATCCCACCAAGTAAAAGAACATCACATATCATAAGATAATTGTTAATAATAACCATAACAGTTATAATAATTATTAATAATAACACTCCATCAAATTTATAACAACTACATTTAGCACTGTGTATAGGAAGATTGTCCAAATGGAGTCGTGTGTTTCTGCTCTTCAGCGTTTCGCCTCGTCTTATCCCCTGGCCGAAACGTTCCTTCCGTCACTCACACCTCTGATTTCACTCGATAAGAACAGAAATAAAAATAAGGAACAAAAATAAACCCTCTCTCAATGCAGTACCCTCTTCCATAGATGAGTCGCGCTCTGGTCGGCCGAGCTCGTGCAGAATGTAAACCTTGAGGACACGACACGGAGCGTGCTCGCGTCTGGTGCAAATATCAGGGGACTTGGTTTGTGCAAAGTTTTGTCTCTGTGTTTCTCCTGGAACTGTGCTTAAATTGCTCTTGTTTTTATTTTTTTGTAGTTTTTTTTTTGTTTGTTTTGTTCGTACACATTGATACTTGATACATCATGACAATATCAACACAAAATTGATAGAAAGAGAGAGCATTTTATATGGACCACAGATATCACATACTACAGTATATAGGATAGGATAGCCCTTAGTATTGATAAGCGTTGTTATTGATGATTTTTTTTCTATTTTTTTATATATATATTTTTTCTAACTCATACTGGCTGAAGTGCATTATGATACAGCAAGTTCCTTGTCTTGAAGACGTGAAGGGCTTCCTATCCGTCCGAGTCTTTCACCCCCACTCCGGACTCTGAGGATGTTTTTCTCACCGGCTCGCTCCAAAGACAATCCTTTGACTGTACAAAACATCACTGGCTTGTATCATTTGTGGTAATAACTAAGTGGTGATTGTCAGACCAGCTTCCAGGGTTAACACTTCCTCTGTATCTCCAAAAAGATGGCTTTGAAGGACAGTTGTCTAAGTGCATCCTCTTTGTGCTCTTTGTAAGCAAACGTATCGCACAGCAAGTCGCCTCCCTGGAGGTGAACTGAACACACGCTTCTTCTTTTTGGGTAATATTAAAACAGATGGCTCTGTATTATTTGGTAGGGCCTGATCTGTGAATGGAAACAGCAGGGGAAATCGTCAGCCCCCGAAAACGACCCTGTATCATTTTTGAATATCGGCTTCCTTGTAGCGTCGCTGTGGTCAGAGTTTGTGTTCCTCTGATTGTTTGAAATCTAAGGTCACGTGGAAAATTAGGCAACCCAGGTGTCGGATTGTTAATTTTGGGTCCGTCCTCGGTTTGAAATTCAGGCGAGGAGTCCTGCTGGAAAACAGCCTTGTCCACCAAATTAGGAAGCAAAAGCGCAGTTCAGTCTCCTTGTGTCAAGATGAGTTTTTTTTTATCCAGAATGTAAAATATCCAAAATGTTTCACCATGCAGGCACAATGGTCTTTGAGACTGATCCGGTTTCCTCAGCCTAACATGTCAACATCAGTCCAGGCAGCTGGCTCTCTCCTCTGAAGTCCTCTGCTTCCTTAAACCAAGTTTCAACGTCTCATACTTTATATCTAATATGGCTCCTGAGTACTTCTTGAAAAACACACAAATATATAAATATGTGTGTGTATGTATATATTTATATATAGATATAGAAAAACTAAATCATGAACTATTCCTCTATTGGTTTTGTTTCACCAGTCCTTCTACGAGTAATGGCACTGCTGTATATGGCGATATGGCAAAAATCGGTTAGAAAATATGGCTGATGTAGGCTATCACAAAGTTGTGCCCACCTAGACTTTTAGTTTTACAGGTAGTCTTACTCAAGCTAATCTGATTAAATAGAAAACTAATTTGAATAGCCTAAACACGTTACTGTTTCTACTGAATACTTCTAGTTTTATTTGTAATTGTATCTAATAGTTAAATGCAGAAGGGTGATCTATTCCCCTACGTCTAAGGGATTTTTACCTTACACCGTCACCTCGTTCTTACTCCCCGTCCTGATCCCCTGACTGCCTCCTGCGCTTCCTGCAGACCCCCCGCCGCCGCCGCTGCCTCCTCCTCCTGGTATGAAATGTAGCTGCTCGATGGTGTTCTGCCTTTTCGCTGCGAAAGCCATCCTCCTGGCGCTGTGGCCCCCCAGCGTTCCCGTTCCCATGACGACCCCAGCCCCGGCCCCGGCCCCGGGCCCGGCCACCTCCCCCGACCAGCCCACGCCCCCGCTCACGTGACTCGTCATGCCCGTGCTTCTCTCCTGCTCCCGGCCAGACGTGGGGTGAGAGTTCATCTTGATCATGTGGTGCCGGTCGAGGGAAGGCGTGGCACACACGTTCTGCTGGGACTGGGCCTTCTGCTGCCGCGGCAGCGTGGGGACGATGCCAGTTCCTGTGTGGGCATAGGGATCCACCACTCCCATCCCGCTGACCCCCATCCTGTCCTCCAAGTGGTCCGGGGACATGAGCATCCTCTCCTGCCTGTCCTGTATCTCCTGCCTGTCCTTCGGCTTCCTGGTCAGGGTTTGCATGTTGGTGTTCTTGTTGGAGGCTGCAATGGCTTTGTGGTACTGGTGTTGCTGGTTCTTGGACATCCGAGACAGCGTCCCGGTGTTGCCGGGGACGTCGCCCATGTTGAGCAGCTGATCGGTGGACTTCACTTTCCTCGCAGGCTTGGACAGAGTGTCGTAGTTGGGATTGTACTGGGGCTCAGGGGGATCCAGAGGGTAAGGATTGGGAGTGGGAGAGGCAGGCATCCCAGAGGGGGGCGGCGGGATCCAGGGACGGATGGCGTGTCTGGGGAGGGTTCCTCTCCCACTGAGGGTGTAGTCTCCACCCCAGTGGAGGTGGTGCTGGGAGGACTGGAGGGCCGGCTGAGCCGTGTGGGGTCGGCGCTTGGTGGTGCAGTAACCAGACGAGTACTCATCGAGTCCTTTCTCTGAAAGCCGAAACAATAAATACATTAAAAGATGTGATTTAATCACTTGTAGCAAAGGATAAGTCTGGAGATAAAAACACTACAATCGTCAACGTTAAAATCTCAGCTCTTGCTCCCTGTCTTACCATCAAGACAGTGCAGGGCTGACCTATTCACAATTTTTTGGACTAACTGATAAATAGTTGGATATTAACAAATGCAAAATAAAAGGTTTTGGTTTTTTGTTGATTTCTTATACAAATTTTGAACCAGGTGAGGCTAACACTTTGCCACTTGAGGAGTTCTGGGTAGAACATATTTACAAAAGACAAGATTTTTTTTCATCTTAATACAAACTGTATGTATGTTTTGTCCACATTTGGCTTGATTACTGCTGTAAGGATGTTGTTGTTTCAGCAACTACTTATTTTTGAGTATCTATACTCCACTCAACAATTCATCAATTGCAAAATAGTTGACGATTATTTCAAGAGTCGATTCATCACAATTAATCCGATTATTTCAGCTCTAATCTGAATTATTTATGTTGCCTCAAAAAATACTTTTCCATATTTTGACATATTACAACTACAATCTTCAGCACATTTGATTAGGATTTTATTTGATAGGCCAAAACAAAGCAGACATGATGGTGGAGTTCAGAAAACCAATACGAATAAATAAAAGCAATTGGTATTTAATAGTCTTGTCAATCAATTAAGACATTTAATCAGATTAGGCACTGTGATTAATCTCTGTGTAGTACTGTAAGCTTGAAATGTAAATCTGAACGTTTTCAAAAAGAAAATCTTTTATCATCATCAAACATCTCAGTTTTCCAAGTTTTAATATTTATTATTTAAAATGAGTCATTTGGTTTCAAACATATTTTAGGAATGCTAACTATGCACTATTTTAAATACTTGCAGCTTTTATCAATTTTTATATTCAATTCCAAACAGCGAGGAATTGCAATAGTTCAGCCTTGAGGTGATGAAGTTGGCTATAAACCTTGATTTTATGTCAAACGTACATCGAAGTGTTTTTTTTAAAGCAAAAGTTGCCGATGAGTATTTTAGTATTTTAGCTTAATTGTATAAGTTAGCAGTAATTAGTCAACCTTTGAGTAATTTGCTTCATTTTATTGACGACTGTGTTTCTCTTAGGGGTTTCTTAGAGAAGATTAGTGAGCAAACAGCATCATAAAGGCCAGTGGAGGTTCTCACTTGGCAACTATTTCCTTCTCCCATCTTCCCAACCAAAGTGATAAAACGAGATTCAAGGTGGGGATAAAATGCATTAAGCTAGTGTCCCTATTCAAGAAAGAGATGCCTCTTGAGCACAAGTGGACGCCGACTCCTCTTTATCATGCATAAAGCAACAGAAAACCTTTCAGCGTAAAATAAATAATTAAAAATTTGTATGTGGGGCTTGACATACCATTTGGCAAGGTTTTATTGAACAACTGCCAATGGAACCCACATTAAAAGCTAAATGACCACAGCAGAAAGCTCAGAGATAAAATTATTGAGGCATATAAAACAGAGCTAAGATTATCAAACAATATTAAAAGCTTTGAACATCTCACAAATCACTAATAAATCCATCATGTTACGAGGAAAACAGTCTTGGTAAATAATCTCGTATTAAAATCATCCAATCCAAAGTCAGACCTAAATCATACCGAGAGTTTCTGGTAAAATTTTAAAATTCATGTTGGCAGATGATCTCAATACAATGCTGAAAAGCAAATTAAGCAAACCTTTGAGACTCTAAATGTCCAAAACTGGTAGAAATAACCACATAATTCATGCAACTTTGTTGTAGAAACAACAAAGTTGTTTCTACAAAGCAATGACAATAATCCCTTCAAAGAGTTGCACAGCACAGTATTAGGGCAAGAGAATTTGTTTAATTGCAAGAAAATAGTTATAATAGTAGTAACTTTAGCAAAAGAAAAGAAATGTCCTGAAATTATGAGAAAAAAAATGTTTAAGGTTCAATGAAGTTGTCAAGATATAGCATCTCAATTTGAGCACCCCTTGAAATACACACACTTGTTTGATTGATTGTTGTGAAATCCAGCTACTGGTAATAATTTGATAAAAGTATTTCTGACAAGTAGTAAGTAATATCTGTAAAACCCGTACCAAAGAATAACTTCACAAGATGCTCAACATTCCTCATTTACTCATTTTTTGTTAGTTTTCGTGTCGTCCTCATAAAATCTCTAGTTCCTTCTAATTTTACGACTGTGTTCTTGCAACATTATAAGCAAGATGGCGACCCTGGGCGTGCTGACATCACTCTGACATCATTAGTGGAAAAATAATCCACATTTTCCAAAAACTTAATTTTCAAAATCTAAAAATTTGATTACTCGATTGGTTGTAATGTGACCTAACATAGAAAAGGTCGAGGGGTGCAAATACTTTTGCTCCACTGCAAAAAAAAAAAAAAAAAAGATCACACAATTGAAGCATTCTGCTCCAACAGTGTGGCCACGCTGAAGTGGTTGTGAAACATCTGCAGGAGCAGCACTGTAAGGGGGGTAAGAAGGCGTCTTATTTGTGGGAGACGGCAACACTCACCGAGGCGTTTGAGTGAGGAGTATCTGTTGAGCTCGGGTTTGGTGGCACTTTCGTAGGAGGGCGGCAGCTGGGCCAGGTTGTGCAGGGAGTGATGGAAGGACGGCTGGGATTTGGTGTTGTTGTGTTTGCTGGAAAGCAGGGTGCCTCCAGCTGCCAGCTGAGCATTGTTCATCCGAGGGGTGCGCTCTACAAAAACCACAGGGGGAAAAAACGACTGCGTGTTAAATGAGATTTGCTCCTCTGGATGCAAGCGTGCTGCGTTTTCGCAGGGTGTGAATCCTCCGACATTCACTAGGAAAAAGGGAGACTGGTTTTCAACTCGCTTTCAGCACCGATACAAGCAAACCGGAGCTGTGATAATCATTGTTATTGTTTGGCTGATAATCATTGTTATTGTTTGGCTGAATGAGCCTACATCTGAGCTTAATATGTAGGTGAATGAAGTAAATGAAGAATCTGAGTGATTGCATGTGATTTACATGGAAGCCAGGATGTGAGCAGCTGCCTTACCGATAGTCGCAGTGTGTTTGGGGCTGGAGCCTGATGAGTGGATGAAATTGTGCTGCAGATTGCCCACTGTAAGTCAGAGAAAAATAAGGTAATCAGCTCACAAAATGGATGTCAGGCAGTTTGAAGATGAATGGCGGTTTTGCAGAAACAATGAGGCCCGCACATGAAAACCTCCTGATGCATGTTCATTTAGCAGTTTTCAAGCCAGAATAAGCTGTTTCTGCAACCATTCTTAAGCACAACACCACAGGGGATTTTTGTGTCCTGTCTAATCATGGAGAAATCTCAGTGGTGGGGCAGAGGAGAGAAAAATACACAGATGAGCTCCCTGTGCACATGAAAGATGTTACAAAAGCACTCTCGAATTCTGCAAGAAGCCCTCACATCTGTTGTCCTTGCTGGGCACTCCCGGGGCGTAGAGATTTTTCGGAGCTCTTCCCAGCGTCCCCTGTCCGTCTGCGACGGTCAGAGCCACGCTGTTGTTTCTTTCATCCTGCTGGACCGGACTCGACTGGTGTCGCAACATGTCAACCAGGGCTCTGGGGGGAAACAAGAGACAGCGGGGATCGGCCACAGATCACCAGGTGTGCGCTTCACACTCACAATAATTCAGCATTCAAATCACCAGAGAGCACTTCTAATGATTTTTCAGGTAATTAATTGTAGGCAGGAAAATAATGTGAGTTTGATGAAGAGACAAGAGCTTTTGCAGTACATTTCAAAATGAGCTACAGCAATAGTGCACATAATACATGTAAGAGACAAACAAACACTCGATGTAGTTCAATAGCGATCATCATCCAGTGCCGTTTACAAAGATAGACAACCGTGTCCTCTTAAAAAAAAAAAAACAATATCCTGACTGGTTTTAGGCTACAGTTGCATTAGGGGCTGGACAATAAATCAATAACAACATATACTGTGACAGTACATGATCAATATCAATAGGTAATATGTCTGATAGAATGTTCAATATTCCGTTTGTAGAATATTCAGTAAACTCTGATCCAGAACCGCACAGCATTATGGGGGATGTAGGCAGAGGAAAGGCTTTGCCAACCTTGGCAAGCTAAGCAGAGTTAGTGGTATCCCTGAGTTTACCACCTGGCAGTAAAAGGCAGTAAAAATCCACCCAAATTCCCAAATAAAGTAATTATTGTTTATGGCACTTGAAAAATAATAGTTAAGCCTGTCACAAGAGCAAATTTTACAGGGCGATCAGTTGCCCCAGTAATTATTGAGATAAAAAGAAAATGTTGTTTTTATACCATTTTCAAGTAATATTGCCCTCTCAAAAACTAATCATTTTAAATTTTGTAAAAAGCTATTAATACTGAAACTGGAAGATATTTTGAATATCCAAAATAAGACACAACATCCAAAATGACAAATAAAACAGAAATAAAAACACACACAACAGAAACCACAAATAAAATGGAGTGAGATCTCTATAAACAAAATTAGCTAACATGATGAAATGCAAGGATGTGGAAGCCTTACCTGGGCATATTCAGGTCTCTCTGGTTGGCCTCCTGTTGGACCTTGTTGAAACACACCTTGATACCCACAGCCACAGCCACCATGAACACAACAACACCACCGATGACAAATCCCGTGTTGTGGCTCTGCTGCTTCAGTGGATCGTAGTCCGGGTCGGGACCCACCTCCTCTGGTATCATCATGGCCTCTGTCTGTGGCTTGGCCCAGTCTGGAGAGTTGTAGTTTGTACAGAGGTCCTGCACCAGCTTGCGGCTTTGGTCTGGACAGCAGAAGCGGTAGTGGCATGTTCCGCAGCAGTAGATGTATGAGTCCTTGGAGCAGTTGAAAGCATTGTCAAAGTGTCCCATCACATCGTAGTAACCCCAACAAACATCTGTCCATCCATCCATGATGCGGGGTGGGATGTGGGCTGCCCCAAAATTGCCTCCTCCTAGGCCCTCAGAAGAGGTTGCATTCTTCGGAAACGTCACCTGGGCCAGGGGCTTGGGAAGCGGCTCCAGAACTCTCTCTGAGGTGTCTGGAGGTTCCTCTGGGGCTTTAGGTTTGCTCCGTAGAGCCGCTGGCCTGGCATTGGCCTGGATGGCAAGGAGCAGAAGAGAGGAGCTGGAATCTGCGTCCGGCTGCTCGGTGAACGGCCTCCCGGAGCGATCTACATGCTGAGGAGGAGGGGACGAAGAGGGCTCCACTGCACTGGTAAGAGGGGCAGCGAAGAGGGAGAGCAGGGAGACGGCAAGGACTCGGAGATAGGTGGTGGGCGTCATTTTTACATGACTAAGACACCTATTTTCTGTTGTTGAGTCAATGTAGTTACAAAGCTTTATCCGCTTTCCCAGCTTAACCCACTAAAACGCCATGTGAAGAATTTAATGTACAGCCTTCTGGATATCAAAGATGTATCACGGAATTCATTCAGGTATGCTAAATAATGTCATTTTTAAAAGAAAAAGTATATTTCCGTCAATTTATGAGTGCATTAATGTGTGTGCCAGTATTTAATCTGAATGGTAATGACATTGTTTTTATGAAAGACCCTGAAAGCATAATAGCTTTGTTCCCATCTCTCTTAAAAATACCCTGATGGATACGGTTTCAATTTCTGGCCCCAATAGTCCTCTATGAGTACCAAATTGATTCAATAAAACAAGACTCTCCTGTACATTCGTCTGCTGACTCTGGCACTTGAGAAATGGTTCACAGGGAGTGTTTTGTCTGTTCTATTCATCTTCCGCTAACTAGTTCAGTCTGGCACTTTCTACATTCAGGACTTCATTCATTTGTAGGCAGATGTCGCTATCAGAAGAAATGTATGAGAATAGTGCTCTAACAAATTTGGGGATTTTATGTCCATCAAACAATGTGGATCGATATTGTCCATTAATGCCGACTCATTTCGGAGGACTCCATCGGGATCAGTTTGGTCAGCGCTCGCCTGGCACAAGCCGTTACTGTGACTGGACTGTGGGTGATAACGAGGAAGGCTCTGCTCATGTGCTAGAAGGCGGAAAAAATTACGAGCACACATGAAGCAGAAGAATGACTGCCGGCCTTTTAAAACGTGCAGCAACAAGAGCTAAATGCCATGGTTTTTCAGGCAGATTTTTATGAAAAAAAAAAGTCACCCTTGTCACTCAGCCGTATCCTTAAATAGATATGAGATGAATGGCACATTGCTTTTGCATGTGACATGTCAGTCGGAGCAGAATTATTCCTGATTGATCTCCAGGGGGTTCAGAGAATATCACTTTTGTTGAGAGATATGTAAATGTGTGAAGTTATTGTACTGGAGGTGTTGGCAATAATAGACAGAGGCAGATCTGTCTCCCACAGAAATTATAATTATATGTAATTATCAAAACGTCCCTATCTGTAGCGGAGAATGTAGGCACAGATGGGGGAGACAGAATGCTGAAATCACAGAGGGCTCCACTTGTTTCACTTACATGCTCCTCTAACCTTCTTAGGAGGGTTTGGGTGTGAAGTACAGAGTCCCACAAAGCAGCAATTCGTCCACTGACTATTATTCCAAGGGGGTTGTTTCTCTTTTTGTTGTCTTTGAAAAGCTTGACGGCCAAAACTCTCTCCAGGTTAACAAGTCGACAATGGGATCTGCAACATGTAACAGAACAAAAAAATGAACAGCTGTCTTGCAAACGTTGTGGCTTAAGAAGAGCAAACTCACGTCACATATATGTTTTAATTTGTTGGATTTTTATGTGTCTGAAAACAAGGACATCATCGCCCCATATGTAATCTGAACCTCGGGTTAGACATGGTCAAACGAGTTCAAGTTAACAGTATGTTTTAAAAGAATTGATCAGATTTCAAAGTTATTATGTGGAGTTGAAAAATTTCCAACCAAATAAATCAGTGATGGTAGGCGAATAGCTACTCAGAAGGGCTCGTCATTTTAGCTAATTTAACGAAATTAAAGCCACTCAAACTGAAAATCATTTAATCTTTATGGCTCAAAGTTATATCAGCAAAGTTTAAATATCTACACTTTAATAAGATAGCATGACGTTTATCCTTAGTCAATGTTTCTTCAGCCAAAACATTGTCTGTGTTACTAAAAGAAAACTGGGAGCAACTTTGATTATTCCCAGTTACAACTTGTGAGGTGAACTTTACATTTCAACATGGCCGCTCCTGGCATCAACAGTGGTAAGATGTGTTCATCTAAAACCGGTGTTAAAATTCCCGCAGCTCTAAACTGAACAAATTAAAAGTGGTGTTTGCCGATGTAAGGTTTAAATTGATGACTGAACGAGCATTTCCAAACAATGTTTATGTTTTGAAATTCCAACTACCTGGAACGCTGTTACGTTCCTATCATTGTGAAGCAGAATTCACCGAGTATTGAGTTTTTACCCACTGATAGGGAACATGAGAGCTGAATCCCGACTTCCCAGGTAACTAGAATATAAAAAATTTGCCTGACAATTACACCCACAATGATGATGATGCATAGGAATGATAAACCCAGTAGTTTCCACTGAGGAAATTTCACATAGTCACACAGATGTTGAAGCCTTATAGCAGAGCGTTTTGACATATTCTGCCGTGGCAGCCTGACCGCTGCTACTCTTTTCCACTCAATTCTAATCCCACTTTACTTCTCCGTCTAGGCTTTCTCCCATTAAAGGGAATTTCTCTAGCAGAATTTCAACATTGCAACTCAGCGAACAGAAGGAGAAGCTGTGAACGACAATGTTTTTCTGCTCTGTTTCAGAATCATAGTCTGCCTGTAGTTTCAGCAATGGCAGCAGAGGAATTGAACAAAGCCAGTCAGTCCTTGTTGGCCATGTGCATTAACAGCTTTCAGCTCAGTACTGCCCTGTTCACGGTGGAAGATGGTTGTTTACAGTACATGCAATTTCTGGTGAGCTTCATAGCATTGAACTGGCGCATTACAAATGTCACGGCCAAATGTTAGCCTTGGCCGTGGCAAGGCTAGCGACTGGGTAAAATTGAAAACTTCAACAGATTTACCCTTCTGACAAGCAATCCTTTTTAAATAGCTGAGAGTTCAGACCCTTCATACAAAGCAAATAGCGTAGAACAAGGTATTCGTTTTTACCGGTCTACAGATGTTGTTCAGCTGAGAAAACAAGAATTTATAAACAGTCTTTAGTGAAATAAACATTTTCAGCCTGAGTTGTTTCATTTTGGTAAAGTAACTCAAACGGGTTAATAGCTGTTAGCCATCCACCTCTGAGGATTTCTTCACCTGTTGAAACTTGATGTCTCTCTACTGCAAGTAAGGAAGCTATTGCTGATCATTAAAAAAATCTGAAGCATTAGTTTTAAGGGCATAATGATATGCTTTGTTTTCAGTTCAGTGACATGGGTCGAACTGCCACATACAGGCCTCAAATTGCAACTTTGACGTTTGGGATCGGTATTTAGGTATGTTAGGTATGTTAGGTATGGATGAAAACATTTTAGCAATAGAGAAAATTTTAGCAATAAAAAGCAGAGACTAACTATCAACCTACTGTGAGTTGCAGCCATTAAAGAAACTTGTGTGGGTAGTTGACTGACAGTACAGTTTGCCCAGAGGGCCACAACCTCGTGATTCCTGCCCTGCACACCTTTCTCAGCCCTTGAGTTTCCTTAATTTCTGGGACGATGCACATGTTGGCGTGAATTGTAGGAGAGTGCGGATTGCACATTAGTGTGCTTGTTTGGTTTGCAGGAAGGAACACTGAATCTCCTGAAAAAGCCAGTGATGGAAAAGAGTCCAGAGGGATAAATGCAGGGTAGGGATTTAAACAAGCAAAGAGATTGTGGCGAGCGGGAAGAGCCAGAGGTATAGATGCAGAGACGACCATGAGTGGGAGGGCGGTGTGTGGGTGGCACAGAATCAAGTACATTTCTCCCAGCACTTACCAATACAACACGGCACATCACACAAACAGCACCACCAAACAGATCTGCTAATGCAAGTCCATGCCACATGCAAGGAGGAGGAGAGTGGCAATCAGAACTGTACATCGGCTCCTGTTCGAACAATCAAAAGGGTTTGAACCTGAAACTGCATGTGAAGGATACAGTCGGCGTTCTGTCGTCTCTGCCTCTCTTTTTATTCTTCCTGCTCTTTCCTTCCCCTCTTTCTCCCTCGTTCTGCCTTTCTCTCTCTTTCTCAGATTCTGTGCGTGGGTTGAGGCAGCTAACTCTCTCAGAATAGCAATGCAGCTCTGTCTGTGTGTGAGTGAAGGAGGAATTGAAAGGTGGGGGAAAGGAGGCAGAATCCAATCTACACCTATTAGTAAAAAAAATAAATAGATAAATAAAAATCAGACTCCAAAGTCACATCTATCCAGCTCTTTCTCGAAAGATGACACCCATGTCATGACCGCTTTGTCGCGGCAACTCCATTTGCGACACGCCATAAGGAAAATGTGCATTTGCAGCTGTTTCTTTCCCAAACTTAATCGTATAAATCTGAATGCGCCTCCTCAAGCCTTTCGCTGTGCAATTTTCCAGTGAAGTGACTCAAGCCTTCCTCTGGGTGCTGCAGTAGATGGGAACCAAAGGTTGTAGGGTGCACATACATTCACAGCCTTGAAGATGCACCCCCATCCCCCCAACCCTCCTCTTTCTCCTCCACTCAGTTTGCACAGCTACCACAAAAAACATTTCGCCTTTAAATTGCAACACAGCAAACGGGGCTCCATCATTTCCACTGCGGGAGAGAGCGTTTGCACGTCTTAGCATACAATATTCTCAACAGGTGTTTGTTGGGCATGAAACAAAATGGCCACTTCCCCCCACCCACCCCTCTCTCCCCCCTACCCCCCTTGTTCTGACAGAGAGCGCACTGTGATGTCAGTGGGTGAAAACATCCTGAATACAATCACTGTGCATCTGAGAGACGTTTAATTACAGTGACAGCCGCGGATGAGGGACTCTTTATCAGTGAATGCGTGCTGCGCAACGCCTGTGCATCACCAGGCGGTTGAACTGGACACCCCGCTCCTCAGACAGCTCTCCATCCTTCATTAGGTTAATAAGTTGCAACTTGCACGGACATGACTTGCATGTATTCGGCGCAGGCTGAAAGTGCGGGGGTGTATCCGCGCCGGTGTGTGCGTGCATGTGTGTGCGTCTTATGAATGGTTTTTAATATGTTCATATAACGCCGCAGTGCTGCCGATTAACGCGCGCAAATGATGTGAAACCAAACAAAACAAAGAAGACGCGAATGGGATAAAAGCAAACATGAAAATGTGATAGTGTGGCGCAGCTTTTTTACTAAACGCTTTTTCTTGTTCTTTGTAAAAAAAAATTTTTGACAGCCTAACAGACGCGCACAAACTCACATTTTCGTGCACATACAAAGACACAGAAAGTACCGAGTCGTTTTTTATTTTTAAAGATGTTAATCGTTAAGTGATGTTGCAGTAATAAAATGTGCATAATGTCGTGTCTTACCTGTGCGCTGCTCTGGGGTTTGATGCTGTGGAGAGCCTGCGCACTGTACATCTCCGCGCTCCTCTGATGGCAGCCTGTTATCGTGGCAGAAGATGATGAGGACAGATCGAACCGCTGCTGCGAGATGTGCCACTTGTTTTATTTTATCTGATGCATTTATGTTTTGTTTTTGGTTTGTTTGTTCCGAAAGCTCTTCCGATCTCAGTTTTCTTCCCTCCCCAGCAGGCTTGCTGATAATCCAGAGGTAGACAAGAAAAGAAGAGGGTTAAAAAAAAAATTTAATAAAAAAAAAAAAACCCATCGAGATGTTCTCAGATGTTCTCAAACATGTGACAGTTCTAAACTCCGCATTGGAAAATTTCAGAATAACTATCCAAGGGAGGGGGCGTAAAAATAAAAAAATAAAAAACGCGCAAAAGTGTGAATTTAACTTTCTGAACCTGGAGCTGACTGACTGACGCTGGTTCCTCTGGTGTCGGTGCCTCACTAACTGCGCCTGGCCTCACGGAGGTCCGTCAGTGGCGCAGCGCTCTGATTGGTCCGTCAGGCTGATGAGTCCCGACTCCAGGCTGCTGGATGCTGACGGTCAGCAGGCCCATTCAACTGGTGGCGTTCATCTCCGTTTAATTAGCACATCCTGAACGACGTGACTCTGTGACACGAAGACCACTTTTAGTTATAAACTTTTATTCCTTTAAATCTTTTTTTTTTTGTTGTTGTTTAAAGAAAAATTTAAATAAACAGAAGCACTCCAGCGAGTAGGAGGTAAAAATTAAATAAAATAATAATCTAGATCCAGAGATTGAGTTTGCGTCTTGTTTTCTATTGCTTCGCGCGTGCGCGTGCGCGCGCGACGGAGAGGAAGAAAAGAGACACAGAGAGGCACGGTTGCCACAGCAACTGTGTCATTATGTTGGTGGCAATTATGAAAGCGATGAAAACGGGTGAGGTGCGGGGAGAGGACTGGCGCAAAAGCTTCAACACTGGAGCGTGAACGAAACTGTCAATTAGACTCAGAGTTGCACACCGAGCGTTCAGATGGTTCCAAGTGTGGGACGGGAGAGCCTGGAAAACCAGTGAGGGGAAGACTGGTCGGAAATGGCGGTGGCTGAAACTGACTTCGCCATCATCAGATCCTGAGAAGTATGAATGAAATTATCTTTAAAAAATATAGGCTATATATTTAAGAGAGAGGGGGGAAAAAAGCATGTGCACTAATAATTTGCATCAGGCTTGCTGGATGAGTCATGACACTAAAACAAATGGATTACCCAGCCTACAGTATCACTCTTGATTGGAATAATTCCTGAAATAAAAGGTGTGGGCCCCCGGGTTTATGCATGGGGATCCAAAGGAGGTGGATAGCAGCTGGTGGAAGAGGTAAGCACTTTCACATAACGGAGCCCGGGGGGATGAACAGGGGGGTTATGTGGAGCCCCAGGTGCCTGAGAAGGGCCTGATAATTACCTGCATGGCAGGCTGCTATTTCTACACAGGTGGGTGGGCTGCTGCGTGTCTGAGGCAGAGGCCGGTGGAGCCCGCAATTATGGTCCAATGACGCTCTGCCGGGTGCACTTTCACTGGCTAGTTTGCAGGGGTGGATGCAATTAGTCTTTTCCTCATAATGACTATTCCATCAGAGCAGGAGACCACTCTAAACAAAAACAGAGCGCTAATTGATATTGCCAGACGGTGAAAATATCACTCTTACACACATTACTTAGAAGGAATGGACTCTATGTTATCACAAGATAAAAGTGGACACGTTACTGGTACCATGTCGAACCAGCTGAGCTTAATCCTCATGGCACACAGATACAGCTCATAATGTATTTAATTCCCCTTTAGGATCAATAAAGTATTTTTTAAAATGAAAACATAAAACAACCTCTATATTTTTGTCCCGCATTTCATAAAGCTACACTTTATTGTTATGTTGATTTACTGATCATGAAAACATTCAGTTTTGTTTTTAGAAATACTACAAAAAGGGTAAATATCGGAAACTCGAGTGTCACATCCCTATTAATATGCTATATCCGAGCATGTTCAAAGAAAATGGAGCGGAAGGAAAATATCCACCTGCAACAGAGAACCGGTCTCGAGAGGAATTTGTATATTTAGTTGTAAAGTCTGGAGTCAACACAAGAATCATAACGCATAGTCGAATCCAAAACATAGGCTACAAACGACACAGAAGACTCTTACCTGAGCCAGGAGGAAAAACATCTGGACTGTTGCTTAATGGCACAAAGTCATCTGCAACGTTTTGAAACCTTGGTGATACACTCAGTTGTTTTACATTGAAACAAAACTGAAAACAGCAAATAGAACTCGATTTAATCTTACTTGTCATATTTCAATGTTTTATTATTTCAAATAATTTAAAATGGACACAAAATATCCAGCCATCAGCTGATCCCATAACCGGAGTTTCACAGGCGTCTTTTCAGAGCATTTCCTCCGGAGCTGTGGACCTCACATGCATTTAGAACAGAACAAAATCTGCCTAAGAAACGCTGCCAGTGCTGTGATTGAGGAGGAAACTCGAGCCAACATGGATGCCTTCTGCAGTTTCCGGAAGGAAACCACAGAAGTTTCAGTAGTGGGAAAGAGTAGGTAGCAGATGTAGCTATACTTCACCGGATGTAAATCGATCAGATTTTTTTTTGTCATTTGTTTTGCACGTTTTTATAAAAGTTACCAGCTTACCCTGCTCCCTCACGGTGACTGCTCTACATCTTCACGCACAACCACAACACAGCCGAGTGCGGACATGTCAAATATTTGAAAATACTGGACAGTGAAAATATTCTTTTTCTTTCTTAAAAACAAAAGAAGAAAACGACAGATTTCCTATAATCCAGTGTTAATTCTTCCATACCTTTATCACATATAGACCATGATATGAAAAATACAGGTTATAAAAATTCAGCTCGGCGCACTAGCATTGTTTCTGTCCCGATAGTGGGCATGTGCACTTTTATTTATTTATTTTTTTTCAGCAAATTTTCCATAAAAATCCCTTGAGCTCAATTTGAAAACTTTGTCCTAGTTCAGACTCAATAACAAGGCAGGCTGTGCAGTACACAGTACCACCACAGCCGCAAGAAACACTTTAAAAATACCTGATAAAGTCCAAAACCATAGGAATTATGCGTCAATAGTAGACATTACATGTCATATTTCTGCAGTGTAGTTCCATCAGACTGGCTCAAAGGAAGAATACAGATAACCGGAATTATTCTGCTGAAAATCTGTATTCAGAAGCTTTTCAGTGTCTTCAGGTATGGAAGTAATTAACAAACCTGTAGAGCCAATAGGATAAAACAAACTGGAGGCAAAACAGAGGTACAATAGGGATAGTCCAGGAAGAGTCAGAAAAAAAGAAAACAACTAAAAATTCTGTCAACACATTTCAATATTTATATTTACACTCACGCTCGCATTCATACGTACAGAAATTTTTGCCGAGGTATTAAAGTCGCCTCAGAGCTCGCTTTTTATCTGCTTTCTTTTTCCCTGCTACATTATTGGTGTTACTACTACCGTTGCTATTGCTGCTGGTGGTGCTGGCTCCATTGGCTCCATTACCCAGAGCTGCTGGTACTGCTGCCACGCTGGGCCCCGCTCTCTTCATGGGGTCACCTGCGTGCTTCTTTGGCTGTGGGCCATCGTTAGGGTCCTGAGGAGCCCCGGAGGTCCCGCCCGGCCCGCCCATAGCGTGGATTTCTGTGAGGAGACGGGCGCGGGACTCGTACTCGGCATAATCCTCTAAAAGCAGGCGGCCAGCCTCCTCGTTTAGCGCCGACTCGGGGTTTGGATGGATGAGAAGACACTTGATGGTCTTATTTTGAAAAAAGCAAAGCAAAAGATTTAGAATTATGTCGTAGATGTGTTTCCATTACAAATGGGCGCAAGGTCTTTATCTATTTTCTAATGTTGAAAAAGCAACATTCACCATAGCTGTGTTTCCATTAAATAAGAAATTAAAGTAAGTCGCACGATGATGACAGCGAAGGATGTAAATTCAACCTTGTTTTTTTTTTTTTCTTTTGTTGTCATGTCACTGTAAATTCATTTCAGGTTCTTAAAATAATAAATAAATAAAAATAAATAAATGAACCTTACAAGTAAGATGTGTCGGAGACCGAGCTCTGCCTTCCAGTCCCTCTTCAGCACATTGACACAGATCTCCCCCTTGTGACCCACGTTTGGGTGAAAAATCTTGGTCAGGAAATACCCCTTGGGCGGAACAGCAGGGAAGTCCTTCCCGAGGACCAGTCGCATTCGGAAAATGCCGCCGGCAAATGGTGTTCCCTCTGTCAGAGTATAAAGAATTTATCACATGAGCATGTATCTCATTACTGTGTCAAACCCAGTCTATACAAATGTTTTACCATCCCAAAAAAAAAAAAAGGCTCACAAAGCTGCTGCTGAGTCAGCTGAGGGGAAAAAAAATATCAACCACAAATAATGAATGCCTATAATCTTATCGGTTCTGATATCACGTTCTGGATCACAGACTTACAAATAGAGTGAGGCAGTATGCTGCATGAAGGAGTAAAATATCTGATCTGCCTCTTCTTGGTTCAAAGCAGCAGGGGAAAGGAAAATAAACGCACAGACAACATGGCGGCCACTGACTGTTGTTCATCTATTTAATCTGACTCACACAACACCAATTAAGTACTTAGATGATAAAAATAGGAGCAGAGTAATGGCAGTATTATTATTTTTCTGTGTGTGCGTTGCTCAGACTAACGTCATCGCAACGCTTTCTTTCACAGAATGTTTGCAAAGGGGAAAAAGTAAATAAATAAATCAGTGCAGTGCTAGTTTTTTGCTCCCAAGGTACTTTACCCATAAATAATACTATATCTGATATTTCCCTGTTCTGCAATAACTGATTGAACAAGATCTTAAAAGTTTCATAACCAAATTTGTTCGCCACAAAATTTCGAAGGCTTTGCTGAACAGCTGAAATACTAATGAAATTAAATCAGTCATAGCTAGACTGTATTTACATAATTTTGAATCAAATATATTGAATTTTTCTTGGCACATATTTTGATGAAGTTGAATGAGTATGAATACTTTTCTAAAGCACTCTCATTTTTGTGCTTTATGTTTTTGCTTCACTATGGTTACGGAGGGATGTTTTCTCTTGTCTTGTAATGTACATGGTTAAAACAATAATAAATTCCCCATTGAAACTATAAGATTAAGACATTACACAATTATAATAAAACATTCTAATGTTATTTTTTGTCTACTTTGTAGCTAATTGCATGTTTCTATGAGCCATGATCAAACTGATGTGTTACACACAATCTGAATAAGAATATGGCTACCTTAAGAATTTCAAAAAATTAAACAAATAAATGCAAACAGAAAATTTTCTATTAAGAGGTTACACTGCAAACATTACCTGGTCCTTCAATAGATGTGTGAAGTTCAGTTATGTCTTCTTCACTGGGATAGATCTTGATGCCCTCTGGGGGGTCTGCAGCCAAAGCAGAAACTTCTTTGTAGACCAGCCGCAGAACGTGGGGGGGCAAATTCTCTACATTAGAGTTCTGAAGAGAAAGATCATTAAACCTTTAGCAAACGAGAAGTTGTGTAATAAGGCAAGTCCATTAAAAAATAAGTAAATACATTTTTAAAATCCCTAAAGAACTTAGAACCTTGCTGGGCAAGGTTCTAAGGTTCTAAGGCAACGTCATATTGTTTAGATTAAAAATTATTAGTACTATTATTTAATTTTTTTTTTTTTTTTTTTTTTGCTGTTGTTCTACTTGGGAGTAAGAACAACCCTCGGGAATGTGCTGCAGATTCATAAAGGTTCAAGTTCAAAATCAAACAGAAAATTAAGGAAATATAAAATCATTACAACATATGCCTCTGACCTTAATCTATTTTTATTAAAATGAAATACAAAATATTGAAAGTGTATCAAGCATAAACCAATATTATTACTTCTGTCTCCGATATGATGGATCTAACATTTTGTTCCTTAGTTTGTAAATTTTGAGTACATACACTTAATGCTAAAAAAAAAAACATTTTTATCAAAACCACTGATCTTAACACAGAAATTGTTCTAAAAAACACTGACTTTACTGCAGTCTTTCCTAATTAAAAAGTATTTCCATTGACAGTTCAAAGCCCGTCTTTTGCATGTGATAGTTTAATTCAATATGGCATGAAACAAACCATCAGCATCATTTCATTACACTCCTTTTCCTTAAGTACTCTTTAGTTAATTTAGTTTGACTACAGAATCTGTTTTACACTTCAATGCATTTTCACTGATCTTGAGCTGGATATAGTTTGGAATCTCTTGTGCAATCGGTCAACACAAAGTTTTTTCAAAAGATTAAAATAGCTTTATCCGTCTACTAGGCTCTTACCTTCTATAAAAAACACATAATTCCGCATTAAATGCAAGTTGTCTGGAAAGTATTTTGATGGAGCATCTCATAGAGAAAGGTAATTATAGGAAACGGTTAGCATTGCGAACCCTAGCTTAGGACAGTTAGGATCAGGTCTAAATAGCTGGAAAATTACCAGTTTCTTTGTAAATTCCCTTATTGAGTTTACTAAATGAAAAAGATATTATATTATTAAAGCACATATTACAACAAAAGAAATAAAACACTCAGGAGAGCCTTCGACGAGTAAATGTCGGCTCAAGCTAGCAGCTAGCTGTTAGCAATATATTCGGTAATCAAGCTTACCATCTTCGAGAAGGACGACGAATGTATGGCTTGTGTCAGATATAAGGAAATGTTTTTATTATTTTTTAAATATATAATAAATGTCTCTGATGAAAACTTAAGCCTGCCTCGGACGTTATTGTTTTTCTTTTCTTCTTCTATACGTTGATACAGGAACAGAAATACGTTCTACGGTTTAACCTACTGCCGCTGACCAATGATAAGGTTGGTTACGTGATACGTCAGAAAGGTTTAGCCAATCATTGTGCAGAATTATCGTTTCATCACAGAGGACAGTCCTATCAGCTTCAGAAAATTAAAATTATGACTTATACTCTCCAGTCATTGGTTCTTTTGAAAAAAACTTACAAACCCCGATCAATACAGGGTCAGCATCATTTAAACACCAGCATAAGTTAGCGGCGCCCAAAAATCTCAAGTGTGGAGTCTACATACCGTTTCAATCAGGCCAATGACCTTAAAACCAATGATCAGTATTCTAATTATTTACTTAAAACAGGCAAAATATTTGCTTTTGTTAAATATGTGGCATTCTAAAGTGGTAAAACTAACAGTAATTACTTGTATTAGTCCTTCCACATGGTGCTCCTGTTATTATGCAGTTGATAACGCACTAAATCTTAATTGATTATGTTGTATAACTGTATGAGATTTAATGTGTGGCAAATGTTAATAGTATATGTGATTCTCCAAATTTACTGGGGCCCATGTTTCTTTATAGTTCAAATTATTCCTTTGAACTATAAAGAAATTATCATAATAGGCAAGAATCAAATCACTGACCAAAAGCCCCAAAAGAGATTTAAAGAGGAGCAACAAATGCAAATGAAGTGGATTGGCAGTGCCTACCAACAACTGATGGTGTCATCAAGGACATGTTACTGTGAATATTGTCTCTGCTGCATGGAAATGACCTGTCTTACGTCAGCTGTCTTCAGTCATAGGTCTCTTCAGATTTCTTGCAAGACTGATTGTTACTGGAGATCCTTCCTGCCCACAATGCAAAATGACTCTGAAGATGTTTGAATTAAATGAGTTGCAACAACATTTTAATTTTGGGATAACTAAAGTATTTTTGAACTGAAGAATTGGAGAAGTCAGAACTTAAAACTGAAAATTATTTCACTCCTCGCCTAACTTGTTTGAAAATCAATAAGATTAGTTTTAAATGCCCAAACTAACTACTATGACAAATACAAACTACTCATAAAAAATTTCTGAGAAATAGATGTGGGCTATTCAAACATGTGAAGCATGAAGTTAAATTAGATCTAACTATCTTGTTTTAGGTCAGCTGTAATTACTGAAATTGTTTATATTTGCAAATTTCTCTAAGAAAGAATATATCACATATTTTATTAATGTCTTCAGAATCAGAAGTTATGTAAAATTATTTCTCATTTTGAATATATTGATAAAAGCTCAAAAAGTGTTAAAAATAGATCAAAACAAGATTAGCAATAACAATAATGTACTGAGTAATATTGTAATTTAAAATACTGTGTAGTTGTTATAATAGAAATATTGTATTCATAATCCAAGAGATGTGCCACTGAAAAGGATGAATTTTTAAAAATTACATAATGTGAAAATAAGAATAAGAAGGAATAAGAGAGTTAAGTCATAGAGCTACAGTAAATGAGGCAGAAATGGTTCTGGTTTGGCTTTTGTAATCTTACTTCCCTCTCAGTCTGGGTGTCTTTGCACTCATTAAAAGGAGCAGAGGTCCATTTCCACACCTGTACCAAAAGGTCCAGTGTTTCATAATCTCATCCAACAGCCCTGCAGTGATCCTTTCTGCCAAGAAAACTAGTCTTACATTTATATATAAATAAATTCATAGCCTTATTCTAAAATATTTTCAATAAATTCTTTTCATCAAAATTCTATGGATAATACCTCATAACACAAAGAAAAAAAAAACAAGGCTATTTTTAAAAAGTTATTAAAATATTAACTAACACCACAAGGAATTGTCTGTATTCTTGTGTGAAAGGACAACTCTGTCTCAGATGTCTACAGACAACGGCTGGGACTTTGTAGCTTGGCTTGTTCTGATATCCACTGCTGCGTGTCAGACTTCATATAAGACTGTTCCCTTCCAAATCATATCCAATCAGATGAAATTAACACGTTTGGACTCTAGTGAAGTTTTAAATTACAATTTACAATTACAGAATAGATAGTATCGGATAAGACAGGACAGAATAGAGAATAGCCTACATAACATATTATCTTTGTGTCCTTATGTGCTGCTGATACACATAAATTTGTTCTGATCTATCTATCTATCTATCTATCTATCTATCTATCTATCTATCTATCTATCTATCTATCTATCTATCTATCTATCTATCTATCTATCTATCTATCTATCTATATCTATCTATCTATCTATCTATCTATCTATCTATCTATCTATCTATCTATCTATCTATCTATCTATCTATCTATCTATCTATCTATCTATCTATCTATCTATCTATCTATCTATCTATCTATCTATCTATCTATCTATCTATCTATCTATCTATCTATCTATCTAGTTGTTTTCCAAGTTGTCGCGATCTTTCACTTCACAAGGCTCACCACTAGAGGTCACTACAGCACAGTGTACTCTTGCACTCTTTGGAGTGCAATCTCTGGAAGTCATATGAGGTTTAAGACCTAAGTTAGCTCCGTCGACTATTTTTAGTTTTTTAAATTTATTCCAGTGGGTTAAATCGATTACTTGACGCTGTGGGAGTTTATTTTACCGTTGAATTCGGGGTGTGTGACAACCTCTCAACAACAGCAGCAGCATCACAACAACAAGAGCCCTACTTCCGGTTTCAGACTCCAGCATCATATGAGGGATTTGCTTTATCAGCAGGTCAGTGGTTTCATTTGGCTTTTGTTGAATAATAATAGTCCACTCTGCTGCTGTTTTCCTGCCTGCCTGCAGCCGAAAACAGAGAACAATCAGCGGGCTGTCACAAGTCGGCTCCGCGAAAGGGTAAGCAGATGCTAACTAGCATGAGAAGAGCTGTAACGTGTGACGCTTCTCGAAAACGTAACTTTTTTCTCTCTGTGTATTTGAAGTTTTAGTATGAGCGACGGAGAGGTGTTTCACGAGAAGCAGCGCTTGGAGCTGTGCGCCATACATGCGCTGAACAACGTGCTCCAGGAGCGGGTGTTTACCAAGGAGACAGCCGATGACATCTGTAAACGGTAACCCAATCACTTCACCCTGGCACGCGGGCACTTCATCACGACGCTCAAACAGCAGCGCTGACGTTTTGTGACAACAAATGGCAGTTTTTTTTTCAACAGAAAGTCAAAGTTGCAAGACATAAACAGTAGAAAACAGCAAGCAAAATTCAGTTCATATTGAACAGTACCGCTGTAACTCTTATTCAGTTATCTTAAGAGTCAGAGTAGAGACAGTGGTGCTGTGGGCTGGAAACATTTATGGTAGCAGTCAGTGTTACTGTAAATTTGATGAAGCCTCTGACTGAAGACTGTTGCTCTATGACATGTCATGACATGCTGACAGCTCAATTTCCAGGCATCGGAGATGATATGTCACAACAATGTCTCTTGCCATCTGCTGTTGGCAAGCACTTTTATATCATCTTTTTGCTTTTGCCGCTCCACTTTAAATGTCTGTAAACGTCTAGAAAGTTGGACAGAGTGATGCCGAAGTTGAGGATATCACCAATGGACAAGATTGTATAATCTTCTTTCTTCTCTTTGGTTCTGCTCTTCATAAATGAAGCCTCCTTTTATGAGTTGCAATAACAGGAGTGCCTCTGCATAATAATCTAAACAGTAGTCTAATATTGGTCTAAATAGTGAGTACTCTATAGTTTCTAAAAAAAAAAAAAAGCTAAAGATTGACTAATAAACTAGAGTCTCTGGAAAAAGGTTTTAGCTCCTTTTTCTGGGTTCAAAACTCTAGTTCTGCTGACACAAACATAATCCACATTCTGGTGCTAAAGGCTCAAACGCTGGACAGCAAACCGAGAGTAAATTAGGTGACAGACCGCCCTTAGATTGGTGAAAATACCAGCCTGTCTCTCCACTAAGTGCACAACCATGGTGTTTGCTGAAATGAATTTGCTACGTTTTAGACAAAGTCACTGTTATGAAAATGTAAGAGGAACCTTCAGGGAAAACAGTGATGCTGCTTTGCACAAATAAATCCATTGTGGCTGGAGAGACCACTGCTCACATTGTTGGTCTTCAGCCCGAAGGAGCATGATGCAGAATGAGTCATGATCCTGGTGGGTTTTCAACAAACAACTAACACTTATTTAAAGAAGAATCGGAGATGGATTAAAAACTTGTTTATATTCATCATTAATTCCTCTCTTCACAGGTTAGCTCCACAGTGTGTGGTAAACCCCCATCGGTCAGTATTAGGCACAGGAAACTATGACGTTAACGTGATCATGGCAGCACTACAGAGCAGAGACCTGGCCGCCGTGTGGTGGGACAAACGCAGGTGAGAGGTTAAAGTTGTCATGAAATGGTTTTTTTGCATAAGCAACCCATCACTATGTTATAATATTGGATAGCAGCCGTTTTGATTCCCTGTTTTAATTATGACATATAACTCACAAAAACTTCTGTGTGTTTTATTAAATAATGCAAAGTGGTACAGAAAAGGACAAATGATTTTGCACATCTAATGATAGAAAAACCTTGACATGAACCATTTTGGTTTGTTTTTTTCTAAATAGCTTTGAACGTCTGACTTGCCGTAGTTCTCAATTGGATTTAGTTCTGGTCTTTGACTCTTCTATTTATCGCTACCTTTTGTAAACCTGCAGGTCGGTTCAGAGTCTCTGCATGTCAAAGGTCCAGGGTTTTATTCTCAACGTTCCCTCTCGAGTGTCTCTGGGCATCGTGTCTCTCCCGCTCCGGCGGCGGCACTGGCTGGCGGTCCGGCAAGTTAACGGACAGTACTACAATCTGGACTCCAAACTGAAGGGTCCCGCCTGCATCGGGGAAGAAGCACAGCTACGGTAGGAATGTGGCTCGCCCTGGACTAGGTCAAATCTTTGCCCTGCTAGATCTCCGTCTCAGTGATTCAGTCACTCCCATGCGAGCCATCGCAAGGCTCTTACTTCACTTTTTTTGTTTTGCTTCTACGCTCTGCATTCTTCTTCTAATACTTTCCTTTCTTGCTGTTTTGCAGAGCATTTCTCAGCGAGCAGCTGTCCCAGGAAGTGGCAGAGATGCTCCTGGTGGTCAGGCGGGACGTGGAGGAGGACGGGTCATGGCTAAACCCCGACAGCCCAAACAATTGAACCATTTTGTATCAAAAACAAAACTCCTCGGGGAAAATTACAACTTTTGTTGTTTTTTAACACTTCATTAAAGAAAAGTATTCAGGGAATGCACTAAAATTCATTTCATAGACACACAAAGGAAAATCCAAAGAGAAGCAGAGAGTGAAGTTTACTCTTGAAATGAAGAAGTTTCTGATTGTAACGGCTGTTGAAGCGTTCCCTCTGGTATGACCGCGTCTTAAAACAAGGAGGAAGCTGAAGTGGGGCTTTGTTTGAGACAAATATGCTTATGAGAACTGACTGAACTGTTTGCAGTTTTACTTGCAGGATTTGTTAATGATTAAGCAGCCGTGTTAATGGTACCTTAATTACTGAAATACGAAGGTAATCATGTTCTGAGGTGATTTTCTTTGTCGTTGTCTCAGATTTGGGTGATTTTCGGACATATCAGGACGTACCGATGAAGCAGCTGCGATGTCTTTTTGCTCTTTGTTGTTTCTTTTCTATGCACTGCGGAGTGGGATTTGTGAGGTGGAAATGCGTTTGGTTGTGCTTATAAAGGCACACATGTGCCAGGATGGCTGAACTGTGAAGCAGGATCTGCAGCTATGAATCAGAAAACTTTGTGACTGCCTGCTGCGTGTTTATATTGTCACAATGGCGGATCCTGTCTGCTCTGTTAACCCGATTGACTTTGGTTGGGATTAAATCAATACACATAAACACATCTGCTATTCAATTTCAGTGGAAAAAGAAAACCGTTTCTTCTAAATGAAAGTGTTTTCTTTTGCTCTGCTGCCTCTTGTTTTCCCAGACAAGAATCTGAAACATCTAGATCTCTATGTGGGAGAACAGCTGATTGGATTATTAAATTAGTTTTTGTTGACATTTAAGATGTGGGAAAGAAAATGATTACATTTTAGAAGACTTTCTTGTAGTTTCCGGTCTTTGCACTGAAACATCTACCAGTTTTCTGAGACTCTGGTATTCCTCCAGTTCCCAGATTGTGGCAGTATTGGTTCCTTTTCGGTTGTTTTTGTGTTATAATATTGAGACTGCACAAACTACTTGGTTTTTAAGTCTTGTGATTTTCTGCAAATCTTTTTTGAAACTCAACAAAATAACAACAACAACAACAAAGAAACAAACTGCAGGCACTACTAATTACAAAGAAATATTTATCCAAATATTAGTGAGGCTGTATGTTTATTTTGGAACCCTGAGATATAATTTTGGCCCTTTGGTGCATTATTGCGTGCTCTTAATTTTTCTTCTGAAAACGTTTTGGTTTTTAATAATTTTTTTTTTCCCCTGGAAAATGTCAAATGCCAAAAAAAGGAAACCTAAAATAATAAAGTACTTGCAGATGATAGATCTAACCAGTAGAAAATACCACACTGAGTGTTCAGTAAGCTCGTCAGGGGATGATAGTTCTTCTAAAAAGCTCCCGCAATAGATCATGTCTCACTTAGGAAAAGCAGCGTCGCACAGCTTTGCAGGATGGAAGTTATCGAGCCAGAACAAATTAAAATTCTTGAGTGTTTTGCTTCATAGTTCCCATGAGAATCATCGTCAAAATGTGCATCTGATGTCTTTATTTTTCTAATAAGACGTGACGATGCAGGCGAGCCTTACCTGCAATGGAGTTTGTGTTTATTTTGATGAATCATCAAATAAATTCAGGTCATTTTCAGCTATCTGTAACACATGCAAAAACAAAACTGTTCTGTGACTGGATGCTGTATTTCTGTTTGTTGAACTATGCATACTCAAATAAGTAGGAGCGCCGTCTCTGATGGACACTAGTGACTAATCCTGAACCTCTTGAGTTCCTGTTGTTGATGCTTATTTATAATAATAAACGTGGACCTCTTGTTTTGATTTATTGCGTCGCACGCTCTGTTTTGTTATCCACTCATAAGAAGAAAGCAAAGGCTGGTTACCGGTTATTGAAGTTGTTTTTATTTATATTAGACTCTGGAGTGTAAAAGGATGCCATTCAAAAGGAGCATTGGTAACCATACAAACTCAATTAACAGGGTCAGTTGGCAGGGAAGGGGGATTCGATGAAATCTCAAATCGTACCATATATACACAAAACATCTTGGAGAGATCCCAGAAACCCGCTGCTATACATAGTTATTATTGCTTGTTACGGTAGAGCTACTGCAGCACCAGTAGCAAGGGTCATATTGCTATGTACCTGCTGTCATTTGCGTGGGATTTGTAGTTCTCCACTAAACAAGGTGGAGTTTTTCTCCTTTTTTTTGTTTTTCCTTTTAGACAAAGGCTCATGAATACTGAGATACGGTTGACAGTGAAATATACAGAGTAGCATCATTAAGTAGTACAAGGAAAAGACAGAATTGCCACCTATAAAAAGTAATAATAATAATAAAAAAACGTATACCAAGTGAAGGAACTGCATGACCATTCGCAGAAAAAAATGAGTTGTTTTGCTACGAGCCAGTGGTTTTTTTTTTCCTGTTTTTTTCTACACAATATTCATATAAAAACATGAAAATAAACAGGTGGTACAGATACATGTAAGAATATAAAACTACAACGCCTGTAGCATCGATACTGTTCAGACTGGCCTGTCACTGTTCACAGTTTACACAGATTTCCAACAAACAAAGGGGGAAGAAGTTAGACCGTGAGGCGTCGATTCGTAGCTTCGCACCAACAACCAGCAGCGTCGCAGCTGGTTACATCAGCAATCCCTTCCTTATTAAGTGCTTTTAATAGTATTTTTCAGTGGTACTGATTCACATCTAGCATTCATTTGATTTAGATTAGTTTCTTTTTCATTTCATTAAAGTGTCCATTCATATGAAAACTAAACATTATTTTTTCTATACATTTTCTAGCAAAAAAAAAAAAGAATTAATGTGAATACAGGTTCCTCGAATGGGAGGGGTTGGGGTGTGATTGATTTCCCCCGTAACCAGTCAGCATGCTGGGAGAGTACTGCGCTTCCACAAAACAGGAGGTCCAGATGGTCCAGATACGTCACAGAGAGGAGACAAAGAAGAAAAGTCGTTCATTACTCAGGCATGTGAAGATAAACACAACAAAAGTTTCAAGTTTGGTAACAATCAGTACATCCGTTACGTTAAACATCTTTAAAACATTGTAAAGGATCACTAAAATGCTCCTTTTTTTTAAATCAATTTTAAGGAGTTACTGATTTTAACAAGCTCATATTTCTTGCTGAAAAGTTACATGTAAGTTAATTTTCTCGTTTTTCAGGCGTGCTAACATATTTGCATTAGAAACTAGAAAACAAGACAGTAGGATTTTGTGTTTTTGCAGTGGAGTACACCTAGAACGCAGCATTAGACCTGCTTTAGCACTGATTCTGGACACCACTGTCGTGGAGTGAGGCTAAAGCTTAAGCTAAAATTACAAGTTATAGTTTTGTCAGTTTAAAAATTATTGTAAAATAATGTTTTACAGTGTGATGGCATATTCGGTTCAAATATAAACAATGAATAATTATATAATTCTTAAAGGGAAATTGGTATCAGGAGGTCAAAGTCACAAAAATTCTCTGTCTCTGGTGTGAGCGCGGAGCGCAATGGAAAAATGAAACACATCATGATGGCGTCATGGGCACAGAGGAACTCACAGAGGGGGGTGGGGACTGCCTGTCAGTCAGGGGTAGGCTCTCATAGCCAGGGTTGCCATTGGAGGAAACGTTTGGAGTCCTGTATGGAGACAGAAAGAGACAAGGACAGAAGAGGGAGGGAGAGAAGGAGCGGGAAGAGAAGGGGAAGCAGGGGTGAGACACGATCAGAATGACACGGGGGATGAGGGGGCCGCAGGGTGACGGGACCCAAAGACAGGTAAAAAGAAAGAAGAAGAGAGAGATTAGAAATAAAGTGCAGAAAAGCACAGCACTTAACTATAAGCACCACTGGCCCTCAAGGGAAGCGCTAGTCCACTCCTGATGCAAACAGCATTTAAACTGCATTTAAGACTAATTCATCAACAATATATCAGCTTTAATGTTTTTGCTCTAATGAACTTTGACTTGCACACTGCAAAAACTCAAAACCTTACTAAGTACTTCTGGTCTAGTTTCTAGTGCAAATATCTTAATACACAAAAACTAGCTGAAGTAACTTTTCAGCAAAAAATAGGAGCTTGTTTTGAATAAATAATTCCTTAATAATGATTTTAAAAAATAGATGTACTTACTAGTTATAAGTGAAATAATCTGGTAAATGAACAGGAAATTTTTCCCGTGTTACAGGTTGTAATGTCTTGTTCCACTGACAGATTTTTTTCAATTCTAAAATGAGACTATCTTGTTAAAAGTGAAATAGTCTGCTGGGGAAATTAATACTTTTTCATCAATATTAAGGAATTATTTACTTGAAATAAGCTCCTGTATTGTGCTTTAAAGTTACTTTTGTTTTATTTCAAGAGTACAAAGATATTTGCATTATAAACTAGACCATAAATACTTGGTAAGACTTTGTGATTTTGCAGAGATCTGAGCAAATTTAACATGAATGGACTATGCTATAGTGCTTGCTCTCTTCCTAAGATACATCAGTATATTTGTATCTGTGTGATAATATTATCAATGAGACTAATCAGAGTAATTTATAGCAAGACAGCACCAAATAATTTAAGGGGAGGGGGAACGTAAAAGAAGGGGAACCAAACGGGGATCAGAAGGACCTTGGAGAGAGAGAAGCAGCAGGACAGTTCGCAGGGAGATAATAACCTGAGTGATCCGGACACCACAGTGAGGAGACGGATGACAGCGATGATGCAGGAGTGGGGAGTAGGGGGCCGAGGGGTTTACCTATTGACAACCTGAGCCTCACATCGCCGGAGATTTTTACGAGCGCAGCCTCGTCAGAGACGCCCTCCGCCTCCGGCACAGCAGTGCACCTGAACTGCTGTCCAGGAGACAGGAGGCCGTTCGCAACCAGATCTGTGAAATGTCCCGAGCGGCACTACGTCGTCTGTCCTGAAAACACCTGACAGACGGATAGACAGACACACAGACAGACAGACAGACCGACCGACCTCTGGAGCTGTGTCTGTTTCTCTGCCTACACTCTAGTTCACACTGACCTGTCTGTGTGTCTGTCTGCAGTTCATGTGCTCAGCCTGGCAGCTCTGTGTATGTGCATGTGTACATGTAGAGACTGAAGCTACAACTGCATCCCAATAAAGCCGAAAAAGTTGATTTACTTCGGTGATTCAATTCAAAAAGGGAATCCATTATAGCTTTATTCTGCACAGAGTGATATATTTTAAGATTTTATTTCTGTTCATTTTGATGACATTGGCTTACAACTATAATCAAAACTCAAACTTAACTTTCTTAAAGGGCAAGAACAGGTTAGTTTAGATCTATGGGCTACACAAAACATGTTTTTGAACAAAATTATTCTTAGAAAATGAGATTTCAGTTTTTTAGGGCCTCTGGTCCCTTTAAATCCAAATAAGCTGCTGCTGGCCACACCCCCAACTCAAAGTTTACACTCGCACACGAAAATGGCTGCAAATAGATGTGCAATTACACACCCGTACATCTTTGAAAAGCAGAAGTAGAGCCTCCTGCACAACCAACAAGAATGTCGCAAGTGGTTTCTGGAGGTTAAGTCAACAACAAAACACTTAATATTTTTTCCAGCATCCATTGTACAGGGCGTACCGTCATACAACCAGCTGACCAAACGTGCCTGGGTTGCTAGGTGACGGGGCTAGGCTTGGCAGGGGTTGCTAGGTAACGGTGCAGTGCCCATCAGATGTGAATCAACAACTGGGATATTTTTGAAACGGCTCATTTTCCAGATACCAAAAAACATTAACTCAAAAATGATTGTTGGTTTTTTTTTATAATCCTCGGGTTGTTTTTCCAAGCAGTTGAGATCCAAATGGAAGTACAACGACGTGTAAAATGTGAATTTTACACAGTAGGTCCCCTTTAAAAACTTAAATAGAATACAAGTCTAATGAAAAACTGTTTTCAATACAGAAATGTTGATCTGCTGAATAGTATGTTCATGTATGGCAAAGTGAGTCCACTCAGTACTTGGTCAGGGCTTTTTGCATGGATTATTGCATCAATGCAGTGTGGCACGGAGGCGATCAGCCTTTGGTAGTGATGAGGTGCCCAGCACTACCAAAGCTGCCCAGCTTTCTCTAAAAGCAGCCTTTAGTGTTGGCTCTGGTATCTCTCACCTTCCTTTTGACAATTTCTCTACAGGTTCCAATAAAGCCCAGTAACGCTATGGTGGGTGGATTAAAGCCCATCTGCAGAGCGAACCATGAACTGCTCTGACATGTGATGACTTTGGACTTGATTAATCTCCAAAATCCTGAACCCCAAATCATCATTAACTCGTCAAGCTTCTTGTGTTCTGTGCCTCTCTACTCTTTATCCAAACTCTGCTACCTTAATATCCAAATGAAATGCAAACAAAAGGAGAACTTTGGTACACTGGAAAAAAGTAAGTTTTCCCCATCTTTAGAATTTTTTGATGTTGTCTCTGGTTCATGCTTAACAGAACAAACATCACAGTTTCAGGCCAAGCCCTGGAAAATGTCTGTGTGTGATGCCTCACTCTAATTAAAGTCCACTTCTTTGGAATCTTTCCCAAAACTACACATTTTTCTGCAAAGTGCTTTTTTCCGTGCACTCAATTTTCTGTTCGTATTGGATGCGGATGTAGGCAGAAGGAAGACTTTAGCCGCTCAACCTCTCGCCAACCCTCTCACCAACACCGACTTATTCGCTCTTTGGTTATCTAGCAACAACTTGTTGCGTAATTGACAGCAGCAGTTTAAATTTTCACCTCTGTGCCTCAAAACTACTTAAAAATAGACAATCATGTGGAGTGAAAACTGTGGAT